CAAGCAAAAGGCATTACTTTGCAGAGTGCCATTTCATGATTTCCAGTTTAAAAGTCAGGAGGAAGGAATGTTTGCACAAGATGAAGAGAGAAAAGTCTTGTCTAATTACAGCTGCACTGTCTCTCCCCCTGCCCCCTTCCCCTTACCCCTTACCCCCTACCCCCTACCCCTACCCCAAAATGAGTATTTTATAAAGTTAGAATCTTTATGAAATACTCAGAATGACTGTAGTGGTATTTTGCTGAATTTCTAACCCAGTCAATAGATATACAGAGGCAAAGAAGGGACTAATTTGTCTCAGTATTTTTTATATGCTTGACAAGCGGCAGGGTTACCGTCACCAGTGATGGCTGTGGGGAAAAAAATCTCTGCCCATGGAGGATCGCATAATCTCACAGGATCCTCCATAGACCTCAGTATTGTAATTGCGTGCATGCGTGAAGAAGAAGATGCTGGGGATCAAGATGGCGGTGCCCTCTGGGGACATGCTCAAAAAAGTAAATCTCCCCTTTCCCTGGCCAGTGGACACCCAGTGGTTGTGTTACCATTGCGGGGTATTTGTGCAAAGATTGTGACAGAGCCACGTCAATTTAATTTATGCTTCTTGCATAGTCTGTGGTGCCCTGTTCCTGTTATACATCACAAATTTGATAATAACTGCAGGGAATTGTGAATATCGCTGCAGCTGTGAGCCCACCATCTCAGATGTCTCAGAGGGAAAAAATAAACTAGCAGATTAATCACTAACAGAGATATTTACTAAATTCCAAACTGCAACAACTTGGAATCTGAATTGCAAAACTGAGGCCAAAATAGACAGGTTAATACCAAAACATTGCTGACCTTGAGAATTTATCTCAGTACAAGCAATTGTCTGCTATAAATAAAGAAAAAGTTAGATTCTCAAATTTCCAGTTTCGCAAATTAACCTTGTTTCACCCCCCTCTGGCTCTCAGTCAGACAACAAGTCCAGTTACTTCCTTCCTGGTTTGTTTAGCTCAGTATAGCAAATTCAAGAGGCAGCAATTGCTCAGAGCACCTGCCTTGCAAAGACTCCTCATTGAGCTGCGTTGGGAAGTCTGTGATTGGACATCCACAGAAAGTCTGGGCAAGGTTAGAAGGGGAGGGCTTGCAAATACAGCAGACAAGAGATGTATAGTTTTTGCAAGCTGTTTTTAGATATAACTCCAATGGGAAATACATAATTAAATGCATGCATGATTTCATTGGTGTATATCTACTAAACAGTGATTTTGTTGTTGTTTTTTTATTTGGGCAGCAGAGTATCCCTTTAAGAATCCAGTATTAGTGTGGGATCGCGCGACATGCTGTGGCACCATGGAAACCAACCAGCATGACTCTGTACATCTGCATTAAAGTCACAATGCAATCACTAGTATCTTCTGCTGTGTTTTGCTTCCCATACTACAGCCTCGTGATGCGCTTCCCGATACAAGCACATTTTGCTTGTACAGAATTTTTCTCACGTCCCTGGGGTGTTCTTGTAGAAAGAATGTGTTGCTTTTTTTACAGTAATAACAAGTACAACTATGATGTTAACTAATTAAAGCATCCCTATCTGCCTGCTTGCTGGAGAGTGGGTGCTTCTATAAGGAGACAATCCGGTAACAGGTGGTGTAATAATGCCCCCTAGTGGAGTATAATGATAATACTCTCTGAATCCATAATTCCAATAACTAGCAATAATCATCAGATGAAGTCATTATACCATTTGATGCACACGAGTCTTAAAATATTGTGACAATATGTTTAGTGACCTTTAGTGGTGACCATTTTCGGAAATCATTCACCAAGTTGTGACACGCCAATTTGTCTTTCAGACTATCATAAAAATATGTAGTTACTAGTAACATCAGAGCTATATTGCAATCTATTTTATGTCATGCTTTGAATTATATCAGTAACAAGATGCTGGGAGCGCTTTTTTCTATGACAAAGGCTAATATTGATTAAATAGATATGAAAATATATAGGTAAACAAGTGGGTAAGCCTGTAAATAAATGATATAAAGCTAGTAGGCTTTTTAAAAATGGTAGTAGTACTTTGTTATGTTTAACTATTGCAGCAGAATATAGGAGAAACTCTGCAAAGGTCTGATGTTGCATAAAAATCATTGTTAATGCTATATAAATAAAATATACACACTGTATACATAGTGCACTTACTTTAGAGGGACACTGTAGGCACCCAGACCACTTTAGCTCATTGTCGCGCATGCGCATTAGGTCTCACCCGTTGGCTGACGTTGGCGTGGGGGAAAAGAGGGACATAGGCGTTGGATTCAGGTAAGTGATTTAAGGGGTTTTAACCCCTTCAGCCACACAAAGGGTGGGGGTGCAAGGGAGGGGGGCACTGTAGGGACCTACAGTGCCAGGAAAACTGCCTTTTTTTCCTAGCACTATAGAATCCCTTTCACTCCTATTGTAATGTAACCTATAAACTACTAAGTATACATGTTAGTGGAATATAAATAAAATATGCATACACTGTATACCTACTGTGCCTCCTTTTACAGTAATGGAACCTGTAAAGTGCTGAGTACACCTATACATACTCTGCGTACTGTACCTACTGCAGAAATACTGGAAGGACAACCGGTGAACTAGTGTCCGGGACAAGGGCACCCAAGGCTCATTGATGCATGTGAGGAGCGAAGGCTAGTCTGTCTGGCCAATCACAGAAGCTACTATAGCTTAAAGTGATGCTACATTTTATATATATAAAAGCAATAGTTAAATGGACAATTTAGACTTTGCTGAAGTGCTTTATTTTTAGATAGTGTGTGTTCTTGTTTTCATTTTACAAAAACCACAGATTTCAATAGAAATTGGCACTCTTATAAATTAACCGTGTTGAACGCCCTAGCTGTCAATCAGAAGTGTTTTCGTGAGTTTAAATGCACTTGTATATTGCTCAAATAGTGTCTTTCACCATTGATTGTAACGGAGAATAGATTGTGAGTTTAATCTGAAGAGGGGAAAGCAGCATTTCTGTTAACTCCAAAATTAAAACACTGTAGATTTTTTTTCATGTAAAAATTGTAATTCTAGTTCTGTATATATGTTGTATTTTATTTCTCAACATAGTATTCTGTAAATATATAGGGGTAATATCAACTTACTGACAGACATAACATGGTTAAAATAACAAAATGTGAAAGGGGATTCGTGGCTGTGTAGCTCGATTGATGCCTGAGGTCAACCAACACTTAAGAATTATGTAGTAAGGGCTTAAAGGGGCACTGTAGGCAACATAACCACTTCAACTGAGTAAACTGGCTGTGGTGCCTGGAGACTGGGCGTATCAGGTCCCACATCAATTTTAAACAGTTCCCAGCATCCCGATGACGATATGGCAAAGGTAGAGTTACGCTGCATCTAACATCATACCAGGGATAGAGGTCAGTGATGGGCTAAGACGCCAGATGAGCGTCCCGATTACTGCCAGCAATCTCTGGTATAAACTGGTATGGCGTAAACAAGTCTACTTTCATCACATCGTAATAGGGACCAGGCTGCAGGCTGCAAGGAGCTAAGCATCTCTGCTAAACAGTGAATAAACCATTAAATAGTGATATGGGATCTAGCTCCCATGAACTCCGGTTACCATAATCGCTTATATGAGTCTAAGTGTTTATGGTTTGTAAAATGTCTCTTTAAGAACTGAAGTTATCACTAATATACATTTGTCTTGGACTGCCTATAGGAAAAACCTCTGCCAACCTAAAGTTTAATAAATTATCAACCCCTATATTTATCTCCCATTATTTACTTTTTTTTAAATTATAATATTAATATTGGTATTTATATAGCGTCAACTAATTCTGCGGTGCTTAGTTCAATTATTACAACCGTACAAGCAGATACACTAGATCAGGGGTAGGCAACCTTTTAGTAGCACTGTGCCGAAATATGATTGTGATGTCCCATAGCGTGTCGGTCATATTTCTTTAAATTGAGGTGTGCATGTTGCCATATTCTGCTTGTGTTATTTATACTGCAGTTGCTTTGTATTGTTGTATTTGTGCGTATATGAGCTATTATATTGTATATGTTCATTAATAGTTTGTGGTATCATGTATAATACCTATGAATTTGGGCTGTGTATGGGGGCTGCTTGTGGAATTGTGTGTGGATGGATATGTCACATTGTGTATTTAGTAGTGTGTGTATATGTGGGGCTGTTTGGGGTATTGCATGTGAGAGGCTGCATGTGGGGATGTGTGCATGTATGTGGATTGTTGGTGGTGTTGTGTTTGTGCGGACTGTGTGTGTGTTTGTATTATTTGTATGAGAGGAGGGTTATTCTGCAGCTCTGTGTATATCTAGCAATGTGGGAGGCTTCCCTGGGTTTTAGTGGGGACCAGGCTGGCCAGGTACAGCTCAAGGACATAAGCTGCAACAGGAAGCGGTGTGCTGCTTTACTCCAGTGTGGATTCCCATTCCCAAGTGCTGGGAGGAAGTGATCTCCGATTACTTCCTCTACGTGCTGCAATGCATAAATTGAGGATTGTCCATCACCACCTTTTCGTATTATAGATATCTGAAGTTTCACTTGGACTCCTGACAGGCCAGAGCCTGTTTGGCTCTTGTAGACATGGAGAACTTGATAAATATGAGTTTTTTTTCAGTCTATACTGCTATGCAGTGCTGTACTAAGGACGGGGTGTGGGGACAGTCTGCCCCGGGTGCCTACTCATTAGGGGCGTTCCCGCATGTAGCGGAGAGCTGATATTCCACAGGTTATCTCCACTCAAGATCTCAGTGAAGCTCAGGAACAAGTAGTAAAAATCCATAAGGCAATAATTACAGCAGGCAAGACAATCCAATAATATCCCAATATCAATCCCAATGACTGGACGACACACAGCATCAGAACTGAACTTTTAATCACTCAACCTTCTTTTAAAGCTTTCTCCCATGCAAGGGAGGGTTTTACAGTAATTATACAATACACCAATCATACATGAGTTGCCACCCACACATCCCCTCCCCTTAGTATGACTCATAATCCCATTATGCAGGACACAGTTCCCCTGGTTTTCTGGATGTACCCCTAAACATATGGGTACCCCTTTAAATATTAGATCCCCTGGTTGCCCTGATCTGGGTGAGAAACATATTCAAAAATAACCCAGATCGGACCAGGGGTTTGGGAAATTCCTGGAGGTAGTAAAAAGACCGACCGTGCTGGGGTTAACAGCCGAAATGGGTTCCATACATTTTGGCCCTGAGGTCGGTCACAGAAAAAGGGAACACAATGCCCGAACGGCTTGGGTTATGGAGACTGGGGAGGATTCGGATAAACCCCCTTGTTCGTGGGGTTCTTTCTACTGAACAGGGAGCCGTTCGGTAGTTTCTACACGAAGTGACGGCAGTGTGGAGGTCTCAGCAGTGTTTGCCTAACCGAGTGTCCGATTTGGGTTCCAGACACTCGACGGCAAAACACCGCTGTTTGGGAGTTTAAGGTGGCAGCCGCCACGTGTTAGTCTCCCGAATGGCGGCCACCCAGAGGACAAAGCACACACTGCACTGATTGCCAATTACCCGTTTGCAACATTGTTGCAAACGGTAATTGGAGGCACACTTATTCCTGGGGTGGTCTGATTGTTCGGTAGTTTCACTCGCATAATAACTGGAGTGATTTTACCGAACAATCAGGCGAATGCTGCATACACTTTACATACATATGGCAAAAATTAACCGAAAACATATGAATACACATAATTCTGAGGACAGCCCAATGCCATCCGCTACACCGCAGCCGGCAAACATTCAGGACAGTGCGTGGCCGACTATGGCGAGGACGGCGCAATCACAGGTTGAGTGGCAGGAGGGGACACATTAATCTCTTGCTGATCATTGAATGTAGCGTGGCCAGGCCACGGACCACAGTAGAGGAGCTTCTGCTCCCCTACCCTTTCTGACAGGAAGTGTTCACAGAGAGCACAGAACGGCTTCCTGTCAGACCAGAGAGAGAAACAGAAGCTCCTCCACTGCGGTCTCCAGGTCAGCCACATAGAGGGGCTGTGGGGGTTAATGAGACACATAGAAGGGCTGGGGGAGTATAATGAGACACATGGAGGTACTGGGGGTATAATGAGACACATGGAGGGGATAGGGGGTTATTGAGACACATTGGGGTGGTAATCAGACACATGGAGGGGCTGGTGAGGGTGAATGAGACACACTGAGGGGCAGAGGTGTGACAAAGACAGAGGGACTGGTAAACATCTACACAGACAGAATGGCTGGTGAGACAAACAGACACACAGAGGGGGCAAAGAGACACACAGAGTGGCTGGGGGCACAAAGAGGCATACAGAGGGGCTGAGTGGGACAAAGAAAAAAACAGAGGGGCTGGAGGGGTACAAAGAGACCCACGAAAGGGCTGAGGGACAAAGAGACACTCAAACAGGATGGGGGACAAACAGACACAATGAGGGACACAAAGAGACACACTAAAGGGCTGAGGGGCACAAAGAGACACACATAGGTGCAGCAGGGGGACAAAAAGACCCACAGAAGGGTTGGGGGGACAAAAAGACCCACAGAAGGGTTGGGGGGACAAACAGACCCACACAGAAGGCCTGGGGAGACAAAGAGACAGAGGGGCTGTTTTTTACATTTTAATTTGGGGCTGGGTGGTGTTGCCAAATACAGGATCCGCCCCCGGTGCCAAATTTTCTAGGTAAGCCCCAGATTGCTACGTAACTCTGTTAAAATCAATGGTTGGTATAGGAAACAGCAGGGTTAATAGAAAGGGCAATATGTACGCTCGGCAGAATCATGCCTCGATGCAGTTCAGTACAGTGTTTCCTTGTTGTACATCTGTAATCACAGATTTAAAATGGGAACATTCAGCCAGCATTGCTTATCATTTGCAGATAGATCTGATCAGAGCAGAGTCGCATTGCTGTGACAAGACAAAGCACTAAAGCTGGATTTTCAATTAATTACTAGATACAGCACTGCTCAGTTCCATCAGAGCTAAAATCCAAGCAATTTGCTTCTGAGTGTAATCAGGGAACTAAGTGTGAAAAGCCAGCTAACTCCATACTGCCTATTATTTGTCATGCGGAAAGCTAATTGATTTGATATCAGGATACATGTAATCAGGATTTACAAACACACCAATTGCCACATTGTGTAATTTCTTTTTCTATGTCCCTGTGAGAAGGTTATCATACGTTCAGAATAATCACAGAAATCACTTTCAGCAATACATGCGGATAGAGCTAAAATGTATAAAACATACGAGGTTAGTACTATAGTCATCTGTGTTTCCTAGAAACCAACAAACTAAACATCCATCTCTCCCTCCCTTCCATAAACGAAGCAAGTCCTGCTTCTATGTTCCAAAACGTATTTAAAGGGACATCATAGTCACCATAACCACTACAGCTTAATGTATGTGTTCTGGTGTCTAAAGCCTGTTCCAGCAGGCTTTTTAAAGTAGACACTGCCTTTTCAGAGGCAGTGCTTACACTAGAGGTGCTTCCTGTGTCAATGCTGCACAGGGGCAGCACTGATGCTCCACATAGAGATGCACTGATTCTATGCATCTCTATGAGATGCTGATTGGTGCAGTGCCGCATAATGCAGGAAAGCATTGAATTGGCTGAGATCATCAAATTTGATGATCTCTGCCAAGGGGGTGGAGCAGTGCAGGGCCAGCCGCAAGGAGACCAACATGGCGCTGGAAATAAGGTAAGTAAATCACCTTTTTAATGCAGGGGTAAGTGAGGCGGGAGCTTTATAAAGACTAGTATGGTGACACAGAGCAGTAATTCCCAAATCAGTCCTCAAGGCACATCAGTGGTCCAGGTTTTATCAATATAACCCACTAAGAAAGAAAAAAAAATTAGAGATGCCTATTAGTGATGTCGCGAACTTCCCGCGAACGGCTCGCTGCGGTTCGCCACGAACTGTTCGCGCCGAGCTCCGGTCAGCTGACACATCCCGGCCAATCTCCAGCAGACCCTCCCTCCCAGACCCTCCCACCTCCTGAACGGTTCGCAACATCACTAATGCCTATACCCCGATCTGTTGTGTGGCGTGTGTGTGTGTGTGTGTGTGTTCAGGGCTATTTTTTACCCCCATTCTGGAGAAACCATATTATTCAATGTTCATATTTCAAGTGCAGTATAATCATTTTAATCGTTTGGATAACAATATAATATACATGACTATTACTCCTACTAATTTGAGTATTTATTAGGAACTGATAATTAATTAGGTTACTCCGTAGAAATATAATTAAGCCATTTTTAGTAAAAAAAAAAGTATCATTATAATTATACTATTATTGTATTAGAAAGTTGGAGGAACATTTAATAGGGTTGGAATTTTCTTAATTCTTAATTTTTTTTTTGGTAAAACATTTATGTACATATCAGTTTCGTAACGATGTTCTGGAGCCTTCAGTGCCCGGTTTAAATGTTTTCTGTGTGTTTAAATGTATATACATTGTAAAGATTATGGTTTGATTAATAGACAATATATAATTTGTTACAAAGTGTCATTAGTCGATTCGATAATGACTTCAATGTTCTTTGATGAGGTATCACACACAGCTGGTACGATGATAGACTACATCTCAAACGGTCTTGAGAACATAAGTTAACCAAAGTGCACTTGTTTCAAACCTCAACTTTAGTAAAGCTCAAAGATGTTTTCATGAACCTACCTTTTTCTTGTTAACACCTGCAGCAATTCCTTGACCTGGCATAGGAGGTTACACAACCCAATAATCAAAAGGAGAAGACAGACTCCAAAAAAGAGCAATCCTGACATTCAGTTTGGTTTACCCACCTGTATCAACTGTCACGTCACCACCACAAAGACACCTGCGGTGGGAATACCCTTCTTATCAAGAACTCATCTCAGTGGTTTGTTTATCTGATCGGATGAGACCTCATGAAGACTAAGTCCCCCTGAGCATCAAAATCTAGTGACAGCTGGTTAAATTACAATTCACAAAGACTTCCAGGAGAATGACTGTTGAAAAACTGACTGTTAAATAAGATGACCATCTTTCTTAGGAATCGGGAAAATTACTACAAACTGATCGGATACAGAAAAACATGGTTGGGACTTGCAAAACTATTTTTTCAGTTTCAAGATTCTCATGAAAATAAAGTCTAACAGGAAAAGAATCATTTAAAGCTTGCTCTGTTTACATACTATATAAATTCACAGATACACAGAAAGACCACAGAGTGAATGCATTATCTGATGTCTGTGCCATGTTATGCAGTAGCAAGTAACTTTTAATTCCTGGTTAGTAGCATAGGAATTCAGGTTTTTAGCCATGTTGAAAGGACACTGTAATCACCATAACCACTACAACTTGGTTGACTCTTAGACCGTTGTCTCTCTATTTTCTATAAGTTTCTTTTCACGCCTGGGGCTCTCCTGCCACACAAAGCCTCCAATAATGTAGAAGTATGACTTCTGTATAATATACTCACAGCCATCGAGCTTGGGGGGTAATGATAGACTGCGAACACTGGGCTAACTCTGCTTGAAATGGCTTGGCAGAAAACAAGAGACCAATGTGAGTATCTACGTTTATTTAAATACAGCTGTATCATATTTCCTCTTAGCTGGTTTCCATGGAGCCATAGGATAAAGTGTATTTGCACTTTTTCTATTGCAAAAAGCAAGCATTGGGCAGCATGCCGTCACGCAGAGATGTATGTTTCTGTACGATGCTCCACTCAATGAATTCTGGCACTTTGTGGTCATGGGTGATATATAAAATAAAAAATATTTTTTTTTTTTCTGTAATAAACTTACTGGGTTTTTATTTTAATATAAATTCCCCACTTTCTTAAATCAACATGCCCCTATATGAAAAAAAAAAAAAAAAAAAAATGAACACACTTCGTAGATGTGAATTAGCAGCTGTGAATGATACACACACAAAAGAACTATACATGCATGCACATATTAAGCTTTGTATAGAGGCATGATGAATCTGGAGAGATGTCTCTCCAGTAGGAACAACTGTTGCTAAACTAATGCTCCAGTTACGAGTGGAGAGAGGTCTTAATACAATTAATATTTGATGCACCTTATATTGGGAGTTATGGAGAATTGGCAAATACATTTCCAGTTTTAGTGGAGTTACGAGTTTCACTCTTTGGATATTTTGAGATAAGTTGCAATACTTTTATCAGTTCTGTGAAATTCCCAGTTAAGTGAATAAATCCCAACATTTATTAGTTCTAAACAAGAGAGAGGTCTTTTTAAAACAGAAAATGACGACACATTTACTTATTGATACAACTTCTCTGAAGAGCTTAGAACAGACATAACTCCTGAGTGTCAACTATAAAGAACAGTAATAAGAGATTATTTACCTGCCACTCGGAATCAGGAGTGGTTTCTAAACGTAGCAAACCGAAGACAAGCCGGTTACTAATTAAGTTACATAACCGCCATATGGTGAAAATCTCTCAATCAATTTAATGTTGTTAATTTCATTTAATCAGTTTTTAGCAGTCTCTCTCCAAAACAGAAGCTGTGCATTTTATACTCCTTTTCAGTAAATTTGTAAACATGAGTTAAATATAAAAATACATATATATCTTCTGCAGCGATCAAGAAATGTGATTTCCAGTCTGTTCGATGGCTCCATCCAGTGTGATCTGTTGATTTCTCGATCTTTTGAGGAATTCTAGTTCAGTGTCAGAAAATTTTGGAGTCAGCGCCACTTGGTCATAATCAAATCCCTCCTCCAGCGCAAATGGTTGGACTTCATCGGTCTGCAGGTGAGAAGAGCAAAGAGTTCATTTATATGGAGGCGGATAGCTAAATACAAAAACAACGTTGGCTAATTTAGCACTGGACATTTTTGGAGTGTTCTAAAGGCACACTCCAAGCACCATAACTACCTAATTGTTAATTCAAGAAGACACATTTGAGTTACAAGTACAAAAGGTGGCAAAGCCTACAATCCGAAAGAGGGGCGGGGTATTTTATTCAGTTAAAATGGATTGCTCAGTCTACTAACAATAAAAATCTGAAAAAATCTTTTATTTTAATATCTGTAAACTTGTTATGGGTAGCAAAGATTAGTGGAGACAAAGGCAAGATGAAGCAAGGAAAAGAAGTTTGGATAACCATCTAAGAGAAACCACAACAGGGCAATGAGCTAAGGGATAAGTGAGTTTAAATAACCCTCTTGCAGATCCGATTGGCTGTACCTGGCCCTTAACCTCGTAACGTCAACCGCATGTCGACATCGTCTTTACCGTGGACAGACATGGGGCTATATAATTGCTTGGGTCCGCAGCGGTGTGCACTGACATGCCGCAAAAGCCAGGCATCATGGCAGAAGACCACTGAGCGGCACTGCCCTCGATTTTGGGAAGGTAATAATCTACGTTTTTGCAACATGGAGACGAAGGATACATGACACATGGTGACATGCTCAACTCAGCAAAGCCAATCATGGTGCCCTGCTCAACCTAGCACAGACCCTCATGTTTTCCTGCTCAACCCAGAACAGACCCTCATGGTTCCCTGATCAACCCAGGAGAGCTGATCATGGTGCCCTGCTCGACCCAGCACAGACCCTCATGGTTTCCTGCTCAACCCAGAACAGACCCTCATGGTTCCCTGATCAACCCAGGAGAGCTGATCATGGTGCCCTGCTCAACCCAGCACAGACCCTCATGGTGCCCAGCTCAACCCAGAACAGACCCTCATGGTTCCCTGATCAACCCAGGAGAGCTGATCATGGTGCCCTGCTCAACCCAGCACAGACCCTCATGGTGCCCAGCTCAACCCAGCACAGCCGATCATGGTGACTTGGTCAACCCAGCACAGCCGATCATAGTGCCCTGCTCAACCCAGCACAGCCGATCATGGTGCCCTGTTACTGCAAATATAGACCTTCAGGTGCCTTGCAGGTTTATTTGGTGCCCTGCTGCTTCCAGTACAGGTTTATATCGTGCCCTGTTACTCTTAGTACAGGTTTATATGGTGCCCTGTTACTCCCAGTCTATGTATATGTGGTGCCCTGTTACTCCCAGTACAGGTTTATATGGTGTTCTGTTACTCCCAGTCCAGGTTTATATGGAGCCCTGTTACTCCCAGTACATGTATATATCGTGCCCTGTTACTCCCAGTCTATGTATATGTGGTGCCCTGTTACTCCCAGTACAGGTTTATATGGTGTTCTGTTACTCCCAGTCCAGGTTTATATGGAGCCCTGTTACTCCCAGTACATGTATATATCGTGCCCTGTTACTCCCAGAACAAGTTCATATAGTGTTCTGTTACTCCCAGTCCAAGTTTAAATGGTGCCCTGTTACTCCCAGAACAGGTATATATGGTGCCCTGTTACTCCCAGTCCAAGTTTAAATGGTGCCCTGTTACTCCCAGAACAGGTATATATGGTGCCCTGTTACTCCCAGTACAAGTTTATATGGTGCCCTGTTACTCCCAGTCCAGGTATACATGGTGCCCTGTTACTACCAGTAAAGGTTTATATGGTGCACTTCTACTCCCAGTCCAGGTTTATATGATGCCCTGTTACTCCCAGTACAGGTATATATGGTGCCCTGTTACTCCCAGTCCAGGTATATATGGTGCCCTGTTACTCCCAGTCCAGGTATATATGGTGCCCTGTTACGTACAGTAACTTATCGTGTCCTGTTACTCCAAGTACAGGTCTATATGGTGGCCTGCTGCTCCCAGTACAAGTTTATATGGTACCCTGCTACTTCCAGTCCAGGTTTATATGGTGACCTGCTATTCCCAGCACAGACCTTCATGGTGACCAGCTATTCCCAGTGCAAACCCCCATGGTGAGCAGTTATTCCTAGGACAGACACCCATGGTGAGCGGTTATTTCTAGGACAGACACCCATGATGAGTGGTTATTCCTAGGACCGATTCCTAGCACAGGTCCTTGGGGTGTCAACCATTTTGGTCCTAGCTCAGACCTACAGAGTGTCCCCATACTCCCATGTGAAACATACACCATCAAAGTGCCTCGCTACACATCACAACCTGCCAGTGTCATAGTATATCATACAATGACAAACTCTTCATATTTTTAACCTGCTGAATTTTTAGCCCAATAGGAAAAGCAGAAACTAGCATGTCATTTACCAGCTTCAATCCAAAGACATTTTACAATGGGCTGCCACCAGAGACGGGAATAACACAGTAATAGGAATCTAAATGCTAATCTGCTCTTAACAAAATACATTTAAGTGTTCACTATTAAAACGTTAGCGCAGTGTCACTAATTAAAACGAATGCCTCTCCTGCTTAATAACAATTCAGAGCCCGAGAAGGAAAAGGACTCGAGCAAATCAAATGGCCTCAATATGAAAATTGTCTATTTATAAATAGTGCATAAATCCATTTGTATCGGCGGCTGGATATTATTATGCAGACTGAAATGCAATAAATGTGCTCTCGAAATTTATGAACCTTTCTCCTCTGCTTTTTGAAACACTTCATCTGCTGAGCTTTGCACGGCTACAAGAGAAAGAATAAAAAATGGATGAGATTTTGCTGGTTGGAACCAGCTGAAATATACAGAAAACAGAGTGTTAAAAGGTGATACATGAGACAGTTTAGTAGGACACTCAGAGCACCACAGCAACTTCCTGGCATAGGTTATGGTGCAACGAGGTCCCCTGTCTTGTCCTTCTTCATAGACATACTTGTCAACTGTCTCAAATCTGGCAGGGCAGTCCCAAATTGTGAGACAGCATTTGTTTAGACCCTGAGGAGCCAGGCAAGGCCTAGGCAGAACAGGGACATGTAAATGTGAGGGGAGTATATACAGAGGAATGTAGTAAAGTGGTCTTGGGATGGGGGTGGAGTAGTAAGGGGTAGATGGGTGGGCTAGTATAAATAGATTGTCATCTTGCAGGGTAGCAGCCATCTTAATTATCAGTTGGGAACAGCGTCCCGCCCTCCCTCCCCTTATTTGTTTCATGTTTGTGTGTTTTGTCTGTCACAGTTTGGTTGCCCAGAGGGCATGTGGACGCCCAGCTGACATGGTCGGAGCCCACCAGGCATTTGGTCACCCGTCGGGGGTTGTGGGTACAGTTATGGATAACGGACGTGCCCACTGAGCCAATAAGCGGCTAGTGGTTAGCATTACGAAATGGAAGGCCCAAGAAAAGGCCTTATGCTGGTTGGAACGAGGGGGAGGAGCAGCTGCCCTAAGTTATGTTTGGTTGGCATGGAGGTACTTAGCGACGTATCTATTTACTGAGTAACTATGTATATCGTGTTTTATGTTATAAAGTTAAAGTTTAAAGAGTTATACATTTATATTTTAATAAAGCTTTGGTCTATTTTAATCCAAGGCAAGTCTGTTGTGGTTCATTTTGGGAAACAATAGGTTGGGGTGGTTTATCAGTGGTGAAGGTCTATGCACATACACAGTTACCCTCTACCTACGCACATGCTGTTTAAATAATTTAATAAATACAGTCATGACATAAGCAATATTCAAAAGAAACATCACATATACAAGAAGTAAAGAGAAAGGATATGTAACGGCACCCCGGGCATAAAAGGGGTTAAATGCCGTTTAGAGGATATTCCCCTTCCAGATACACAGGCAGCTACCAAAGACACCAAACTGCCGAACAGGAAACCATATGAATGCCGTAAACAGCTGAACCGGAACCATACAAATGCGTTAAACAGCCGAGTAGAAAAAAACATACGAATAGGTTTACACTCCTAGCAGTCAAACTGGAACAGCATACAATAAATCCCCCCAAGAACGAGACAAGGCTCCGTTTTGAGGGTCAAGCAGGAACAGACAGAGCTGTGGGTTTATTGTTCTTATATACACATTAGTACCACCCACAGGGTTTTGTAAAACAACCAATAAACACGTTCAATACACTCAGACACTCCCACACAAAATCCTCCCCTCTGCCTGTGATACAATTACCTTACACAATGGGTTAATGTAATTATCACAGGCAGAGAAATACAGTTTTTCCACATTATTCATAACTTTAAAAGTATACATCACATTCACATTTTCAGAATCAGCATACTCCAAATACAAACATATGTCAAAATCATACAAATTGGTCCAGTGGGTCAAAAGTTAGATCGAATGCCTTTGTCACCAAATGAAGCATGGCTTTTCTGCCCAAAAACAGTTCCACAGAGTCTTCTATCCTGGAGATAATTGGGAAGTAATCCAATTATCTCAAAGGACAGAGGCAAAACTCCATTGAACACATGGTAGCAAAAGACAATAAAATACATAAAAATATATAACTGTGCAGCTATTGCATAAAACAGGTACATTCAACATATCCCCAGATAGCTTAGATCTGGGCGCACATTATTACTGAATGGCGCTCCGATCACATACATAAAGTTCAATTGCCATGGAGCCAAAGTCTTTCACATAGTCTTTCGTTATACGAATGGGCTCCATGGCATAGCTAACTGGGGTATCACTGTTCAAATAGGACAAGTACCGAATGACCCGGCTTTCTTGACTTTGCAGGGGAAAATCAAGCGTTTCAACATGGGGCCATAGTCTAAAGGCAGCAGGCGGCCAACCAGGCTCCTCCAATGCACAATGGCGAGATTGGTCTCGTCACAGGATAGGTACTGCATAAATGGGAAAAGCATACTGATCAAGAAAGGATAAGGACAAAAGGGAGAAAATCTATAAAAGTAGGTAGATTAGTGGTTAGGGAAGCCAGCTTCACTCAGTATCTCATGTTCAATTCCCGTCAAGGTCACCCGAGTCTTTCAGCCTTCCATAGTAGATAAAATGAGGACTATTAAACAGTTAATAATCACATCAAGACCCCAGGACGTACTTGGAAACTCATTCAAGCTAAATGTGCCTTATATGGTTAAATAAATTCATATTATTGTTATATACTTTTAAGCTATAATATTATTATCCATATAATGCCTTAAAAAAAAAAAAAAAAAGGAATGGGCCCACTCTAACAGTGAATGCACAAATCTTGTACAATAGAATAACTTAGAAAATGCAGAAAAGACATGCGTAGAATGTTCAAAACTTAATTTGCTCAAATGACAATCCCTTACTGATCCAGACATTCTATCACTTAAATGTGAATTTAAACTACTTTGATATTCATCAAAGGTCTCTATTGTTAAGGACAAGGGAAGGAGATATTTAGTAGAGTAGAGTGCCATGGTTCGCCTTTAGGAAGGCAAAGCAACTTGGGAAATGTGGTCCAAAAACATTGGAGTGGCCAACATTACCCGTAACCGCTCTAAATGCATCCATTTTTACTGCCTTATTAAAAGGAGTGAAGGACAATGGTATTGAAACACCCCAAACTGAAAGGAATACCAAAACAACTAGTGTTCACTGTAGTGGTTACGGTGCCACGAGTGCTCTGGCACACACACACACACACACACACCTCACCCCACTGTAAGTAGTCAAACGCCAGAGAGCAGTGAGCTCCTGAGCAGTAAATTCCATTGATTCTTCTGATGCATGCAGGCAGGCAGTGGCACCCAGTGTACCCCAGGTAAGACTGCTTATAATAGGGTGACACCAGGGCACTCCTTGCACCATAGCCACTTCAGCAATCTTGGAGTGTTCTTTTAATTCATGAAAACTCTTGAGTGGCTTCATTAAACTAAATCAGGGCCAGTGAAAACTCTTCCTTAGGAGTAATTGGTCATTGAGGTAGAACATTGTTCCTGGGCAAAAATAAATGTGAGTAGAGCAGTTTAAAAATCTAGTAACTCAGCAATTTCCTTTGGATGCCACCCTAGTATAGAGAGTTTGGAAAGTTTAGTAGAACGACAGTTACTCCTGTTGAAATACTGTAGGTGGACAAAATATGGGTTTATATAGAACCTCTGGATAGAGACAGACAATATGAGAGATGGGTATATAAAAGTAAATGTTGTGCCAACAAGTGCGTAGCTGGATTTGAAAAATGTAGGCAAGAATTTGCCGATTTAAACTGGTACCAGTATGAAGAAAAGAAAAAGAAAGAAAAAGACACTATATAGGATCCTCAACGGGGAGCAATGTGTCAAAACCTAAGCCTCGGACGTAAGTGTGTATATATTCAAATAGCTACTCAGGTCAATGCCCAATAACAACGAAAACACATACACAAAAACAAGGTAACCACTCTCACATGGAGGGCATGTGGGGTCAAGATGGACCATGTGGAATTGGTGGGTTAGAGAAGCAAAGAAGAAACACTGGGAAACATATGAGGCTTGAAAAGGACAATGGCATACATATAGGCATATGAAGGATAGCATTTTTATTTATTTATTTTAAAGTTGATGATTAATATAAAGGTTTAATACAATATATTCTCCACCCACTAGCACTTAATAGCTGAATCTAGTGATGTCATTCCGTTTGGTGAGAGCCCATTACAGACCCTGGGCACATCACACGTTATTTGACTTGTTATTAAAGAGGTTACAGGAATTAATTTAGCAAATGTCTGTGTATATTTATTACTTTTGAATTGCCCCATGGGATAAATAGCTGGCGTTGTACTTATTCGGCAGGAGGAAAAGCAATTTCTGAGTTTCAAAACATCCAGAACACTAAAGTCGCTGCTACATCCTCCATTTCTCCCCGGGGACTATTTAAATGCTGCAGATGAATTCCCAGAGAGATTTAAACTTAACTGGAAAACGCTTATAGAAAAGCAAAATATGTCCATGACACAATAAATCAAATCTATTTTTACAGCACAAACACCCCCGTGACATGTTCCTCTCACTGCTGCAGAGAGAACCTGGAGCAATTCACCTAATGACTATACAGAGGATGTTAGGTCTCCTGCTATTGTCCTCTATCTAAATCAGTAATCGTACTAAGCTGGGGTGTGCAGGACGACACAGTCTAATCCCCATTCTCTCTGCCCAGCCTTAGCCATTCTGCTCCTTTGATGCGTTCTACCTTTCTTGTTGTTTTTATAAGAGACAATATAACACCCTGCTCCATTTCTGCAACCATGGATAGATTGCCTAACCTGCCCTGAATTAATTTTTCTCTCATTCTGCCTGAAATCTGTTCTCTCTTCCATCCTGCCATGCATGCTATAGAGAGAGAGAGTTCTTTATCCTGCCCAAAACTCTCCTCTCACTTCTCCTCTCATTCTGTTCATTAAAACTGTTTTCTTCCCCACCAACTCTTCTCTTGTGCTGAACTCCCTCTATAATCCATCAACCCTTCCTGAACACAGAAAATAACACACAACTATAGTTCAGCGCTTCTGAAGATGATTACAGTCCAGAGGCAGCTCAAACACCAAGGACGGAGTCTTTCTTGTCCGGTTAAAAGCTGGGTAAAACAGGAGGTTGGTGTAGCACCTAAACAGCCCTTATCAGGGAGTATATAACGAGAAGAAGAGAAAAAGAGCAGAAGAAGCTAACAGTGTAGTATGTAAAACTGAAGTTGGTATAAATATGATAAAAAATGTGCACTCACACTTTTTTAAAGCTTCAATGCAGCTCCAACTTATGCGCCTGGGTGGAACGATCCCCACGTAAGGATCATGTGCAGTGCGGATTCTTCTTTTGATATTTTTCGTGGAAGGTATCCTCATAGAAATAAAAAATATAAAAAGCGTAGTATAGTGCAGTATATTTTGACCATGGAGCAAGGGTAGGTATAAATATAAAATGTACACTCACATGTAGTAGAGTTGCAAATATGGTACCAAATCAGCATAAAAACTAATAAAAAGGTAATAAATAGATAAAACAATAGCAGTGGGGATCATACCACTTCATACGCTGATTTGGAGCCATATTTACTGTTCCACTACATGTGAGTGTACATTTTATATTTATACCTACCCTTGCTCCATAGTCTGAATATACTACACTATAATATGCTTTTTATCTTTTTTATTTCTATGAGGGTACCTCCCACTAATACGATCAAAAGAAGAATCAGCACTGCATTTTATCCTTAGGCGGGGATCGTTCCGACCAGGTTGGAGCTGCATTAAAGCTCCAAAAAAGTGTGAGTTCACATTTTTTAGCATATTTATACCAGCTTCAGTTTTTCATACTACACTATTAATTTCTTCTGCTCTTTTTCTCTTCTTTTCATTATATACTCCCTGATAAGGACTGTTTAGGCGCTATACCAACCTCCTGTTTTACCCTTCCTGAACACATCCTACTGTCCTCCACCCTCACCTGAGCTCAAGCATTTCTGTTCCACCCTGCCCTGAACTCACTTCACCCTCCTCCACTCTGAGCTCCCCATATTCTCCTCTACCCAACCCTGAACTCTCCCAATCATCCTCTACCCTGCCCTGAACACACCCTGCTCCCCTACACCCTGCACTGAACTCACCCTACCCTGAACTCACAATACTCTCACCCTACTCTCCTCCACTATACTCCCCTCCAGCCTGTCTTGTACTCTCCTCCACATTTCCCTGAACTCACCATACTGTCCTCCATCCTGCCATGAACTCCCCCTCTTCTCCTCAACACTGCTCTGGAGACTCATTATTCTCCTCCACATTGCCTTGAACTCCCCCTATTCTCTTCCACCCTGACCTGAATTCCACTATTCGCCTCCACCCTGCCCTGAACTCCACCAATTATCTTCCACCCTGCCACAACTCACCCTATCCTCCTCTATCCTAAACTGTCTTCACCAATTCTCCTCCATCTTGCTCCAAATTCCTCCCCCCCCCCATCTTTTCCAACTCCCCTGTAAACCTCAGATTCCTTTTTCCAAAACAACAGATAACAAACCACATCCTCTCCTCTCCTCAACCCCCCAAGCAAGTAAAAACACACAATCACATCCCAGTATATGTTTTTTTATGTGACCTTAAAACAAGTTGAGTCCTGGCAACCCCAGACAAAGTAAATGCATTTGCCTTAATGTATACAAACTTTGACAAGGCCTCAACCTGCTCCGCACTCTCAGCCAGTATTGTGGGAACTATTATTCATATAAAGCTGAATTGTTGCATTGCATGAGATGCATAAAATACTGCAGCAGTTACAACACATGTCTAGCACCTACATTTCTCATAGCCACATCTATCTGCACTCTCCCTGGTAGTTGCTGATGAAGAGATAAAATTGTGTGTGGCAAACCAAGGATACACTTGAAAGCAGAACTGTCACTACTCTGGAATTGACAGTTGCTTGTGCCCCAAAATCAGTAAACACTATTGCATCATTTATCGGGGAAATAATAAAGCTGAGGTAAATAAAAAAAATTTAAAAAAATAAAAAATTTAAATCGTATTTATTTACCTACTCTGGACCGCTATTTTGTAGTGGGATTAACCGTCCCATGTTCTTAGTCATGCTCATGCACAATCTGATATCTACACAGAAATTACTACAAAGGGCTTGCGCTCCCCGGAATTCCTTCAGTAGCGCAGTACATGTGCAGCGTGCAAATAATTAAAATTGGACTGCGTGAGATTTTTTTTTTTTTTTTTAAATAATAGTATAACAAAGAGCTAACACTCTATCCAATTGTGCAAAAATGTGTGTCAGCTCTGCTTTAGTCTTACATACACAGAAAAAAACATTAACACTCTGATAATCATGGCGCTGAGAAAGAAATCACCTGGCAATGAAATGGTTACTAATAAAATATATTTGAGGCTTTCCAGCAGAAATCTTTGTCCTGCTCGTTTCTGTTTAATAATTCCATGGGCAGTACTTAATGGATTTTTTTTATTTAAGATTATACAGAACTAAGCACTGCATTATAATTCACTCATTATACTCTAAAGTTCTAAAATATTCTGCAGCGCTCTGTGATAAGATCTGCTTAAAATAAAGATTTCCTCAATGTGTTTTTATGTATTTTTATAGGTTTTAAAAGACTTAGGGAGAAGTAAAAAACCTAGTAGGAAAGTTTTAATTATATCAATAATGCATTTCTTTTGGGGAGACATTGTGACATTTCAATTATATAAAGTTTTAATTACAAAAAATAATGCAGTAATACCACTACAGATAATATCATAATACCATAAATACTGTAGTAGTTATGGTGCTGCATCACTCGGCACTATACTCTGGTTCTGTGTCGAACTGTTTTTGATTGTTTACATACAAACCAAGGCTGCCCAAAAGATCCAGCTCTGCCTCGGAATATTGCTCTTTCAGGAAGTTAAATATCAATTTCAATCATATCTGAATGGAACTCATTGGTGGGGCATACTCCAAACACAGCCACGTCCAACGGGACACCAGGACCCCCCATGCATACCGTACCTGATGTATTGTGGGATTCTGTTGGCTCTCACCAGACATCTTAAATTCCAAGCAGGTATTCCTTGAGAAGGATGGAAAGTAACGAGTTACCTCTGCCTCTCCAGGGAACAGTTCTGTGGACAATAGATAGTTATTATCTCAAGTCTTGTTAACCCTTTGTCAGACAAATTCCTCAGAGTAAAAGACCTCAGATGTTCCATTACCGATTGCCTTTAGAACATCTTTCTAAAGACTAGTCAACATGGAGTCTTTGTAGCTCTGCCTCTCCTCCCTGACCGTGTCTGCAGAGGTTGAATGGAAACCATTGGGGGTGTCTACTCACAAATAGCTAAGTTCCATTGAATTGAGCAAAAAGTAGCACATTTTCTTTTAAAACAAAATTGTTGTAGGAGTTAAACTTTTATCCACATGTTTTTTGCTACACATCCAACTCGAAGTTTAATGAATGAATCTTTTACACCGGTTCTACTAAGGAAGGACAGATATGTGGCATTCCAAAAAGTGCCGGATTAATGTTTTTCGGATAATAGCTCCATTTAAAAATTCTGAACTGAAATAAGCCTGTAAAGGGCAGAATATAGCATCTTTTATTTTCAGCATCAACTATCTTCTAAAAAGCTCCAGCACTGTATTGTCCAGCAGAGACAGTGCGTTTTAAAATGAACCGTTTTTTAAAATGAAAATGTAGTTAAAGCAAGTTAAAGTGCTTTATGTTTTTGGAGTGTTCCTTTAACATGCCAGTAATGCTTTGATGAAAATTCTGCAGAAGTAGCATATTGTAAGATATTTCATTCTCATCCTAGTAGCCTACAAACATTTATACCAGTTATAATTTATAGTGTTTCAGAGGTTTGCGAACTCCATTTAACATGATGCTAACCCAGGTTCCTGGGTACCACAGTTCGCAGTGACTTCTTTATAGTGTCCCCAAATTAAAGCACCATCATCACTTTGTGTATCTACAAATATGGATCACTGGAAAGGTGGTTACAGGCGAATTATAACGAACCATGATTTTTACAAATTTTCCTTATCCCTATATTTAACAAATATGAGCTTGTGAGGCATAAAAATTAACATTAAAATGTAGAAAGCCCACATCTCTTCATCCTGCAACTGGGAACTTCCATCTTAGCTTCCTGTCAATCATTGTTCTAAGCACTGTTTATCCTCTGCACTTGACATTCGACATAAAGGAAGTTTTTTAGAAAAGAGAAATGGAACATTTTTCTTTTTTGCCTCTTCATTTGCAATGTCAGTTCTGGTGTTGCCTTATCTGAACTGGATTGTGATGTAATTTGCTAAATATTTAATATAAACATAATTGATCATCTCATGAAAGATAGGTTAACACAAGTTATAGGTGATTTTTAACATTTAATTCAATGGTGTATAGTTTTCCTTTAACAGAACAGTTTCACTTATCAAATTCTAGCGAATAGCCTTGCAGATGCGGATATTGTCCTTTCTGGGTAACTGTGGCTCAATTAGTCTTTAGCCTTCCAATTATTATTATTATTATTATTATTATTATTATTGCCATTTATATAGTGCCAACAGATTCCGTAGCGCTTCCAAAAACTTGACATTTCTGTAAGGTTATCGACTGACCAACAAAAACGGTATACTTTATTATTAATGCCTTGATTTATTTTAGAAAAATTATGTGTTCTATTTTAAATATTGTCATTTGACTGTAAATAGCAGTGATTTTTTTTAGAAAGTCTTATTAAAGAATGTAAATATGTTTGAGATTATCCCAAGTCACAGGCAAAAAGAGGAGAGCAATCAGCTGCTATTTACTGGGAGGAACGTGTCAGAATGAGATGAGATCTGCTCTAAATTTAGCCTGTGTGACAGTAAATTAAATAGTCTAATCTGCAGGCTCCTCTCTGCCAGGCAATGCTTAATCAAGCATATACTTCACCAGCAAAATGCCTTTTTTTCCTTACAACATGGATTAGAAAGACCGAGAGAGACAGTCAACCAGAGAGAGATTGTTGGTAATTAGGAAGTATCTATCAGTCTTCAGGATCCCACAAAGGTAATGTTCTAGTGACCACCAACAATTTGGGGTAATAATAGGGACTGTAGAGTAAAAGTCCTAGGAATCCCACCAAATCCTACTTTTCGCTAATGGTCTAGAAGACAGCACTGCAGTCGAGCTGCGTCCAAGTGCCACTGCTCTTTCCTCCATGATTCCGCTCAGTAGACACAGTTGCAGAGAACAGGTGATGTGATCTGACGTTACATACCTCGCTCACTTGTCGTAAAGAAGAGCATGACAGAGACAACAAGGAAGAATCTGAGTAATGTAGGACCATAGCTCTGCTGCTTCCTTTAAGATCATCATCAGTGCCCCCAGGCTTCTCCACCATCCCACTAAGGCAGATAACTTAAAGGCTTACTTCAAGCACCACGACAGCTTCAGTGATTTGAAGTGGCCATGGTGCTTGGAGTCTGTTTGTGCAGAGATTTAGCCTTTGGCTGCCAGAGCCAGCCCAGAACAATGTAAATTCTGTGGTGACGACCAATGAGGTACTGCCCCCCATTGCCCCGCAAGTCTCCCCTCAGTCCATCCTCCACCAGATGAAGATCAGGCTGCCGCCTCAGCGCTAGAACGCAGGTGACGACTAGAACGCAGGTGACGACTATTTTCTTCAGCTGTCCTTTACACTTACTGCCCCTGCCCAAAGTAATTCATCTTCTCATCCTATTTATGGGCCCTGCCATGGAAATGTCAACTTTTTCTTAAGTTTGTAGTGCTTCAGAATGTTTAACAAACAAAAATATCCATATTGAAACATTTAAAAAAAAATGTTTTTAAAAGTGTGATGTTAGTTTGATTGCCATCTCATGGAGGAGAGGTTTCTTGAAACTTAAGTCATCTTTTCCCAAGAAACCCTGTTTTTGGAAGAGTCAGTTTCCCATTGGACGTGATGATATCCACATTGATAAACCAGCCAATTAAAATCTATCTGATGAGCTGGCCAAAAATTCCTAGAATCAGTGAAAACTTGAAAATATCAGAAACTCTATATATTTACTGTATATATACTGTGTGACAGTTATGATAAAATACATACAACTGCAAAACAAGGTTTGGCTTAGAACATAATTTAATCGTCAGAAAAAGCAGACAAGCTGTAACAATTCCATTCGTTAGGTGAAGGGCACAGAGGAACCCAGTTAAAAGCACTGCAGATGCCAAATAAACAGACATGCAGACACCAGCTAAATAAATAGGTGCTCATTCATTATGCAGATCAATTATGATGATCTAGATAACACTGAGCAGAAATGCGCAGCACGTCCCGTCTCCCCGTACGAATTCCTGCAGGCTTACTAAATATTTGATCCCTTGCTCACACAGAGAACTTCTTCTGCTTTTATGACCTGAATATTTACTGTTTTCATCACTCTAACCATGAGCTATCATAGTTTAAAGGAACAGGAAGCCATCATAAAAAGGACACCTACCATAACTATCAGTGAAGGTTCGTGTATGTGGTCTATGTAGAATATAAATTATTCATATAAATAGATCGAGACTATAGATTTAACTAATGTTTGGGTGGCCTAGAACCTATGAGAGGTTAAAGAACCAGGAATAATTAAGATACTCACAACTAGCATGGCTTTCCTTTTTTAATATTTCAAAAAGAAATAAACTAATATTAAGCTAGGTAAGATCATTGTATATCCCCCCATCCTAGCTAAAACTGCTACAGGAATATGTCATGTTACGCAGCCAGGAATCCCATTAGGAACTAGAAATTGATAAAGGGTCTATCCATGAAACACTGAATTATAATGAACCGCAAACCGAATTGCAATATACGCTAAATAAAACCCGCTGAACTGGGGAAATTTTAAAGACAGATCAAGGGTATTTTGCCTAAATTCTGCAATGTGGTTTCATTTTTCCACAAATCAGTGTTTGGCGAATAAACCATCAGGTATTTCTAATTTACATTTGAAACCAGACTTTTTTTATATCTACATAAGTGCTTAGTGAATGCATTTTATCATCCTTAATTGTCCTTTAAACACAGAGTCCCCTATGTATCCCATTGAGAATTCTACTTGGGGGAGCGGACTGGGGATTATTGGAAAGTGTTTCCAGCCCCCGATGTTCACTGTAGGCACTATGGTATCACAAACCCACGATGATCTTAATTAAGCTGCTAATTACATTCTTGGCGGAGGTGATTAATGAGCAACAGGAGTGCTTTGCACGCTGCCAATAGCAGCAGTGAGGGAAAGATAATGGAGTAAGTATTGACATCTGATGCTAGACATGATTCGCTAATTAGTTTGCCAGTTCCAAATCGGAAGCTGAACTGACGACATTGTGACACGACACAGCTAAACTTTAACAGCATATGCTCGGAGAGATGAACCTTAGCTTTTCCCTCGATAAAGCACGTGTTTTAATGTATAGGCATCTTACAAGGAAACTTTAATACTATGTTTACCTATCCTCTATATTTAACAAATATGTGTTTGCAAGGTCTTAATTAAATGTAGAAATCCATAATTTGATATTTACTAAACTTGTGCATGACAAAAAAAAAAAAAAAAATTGTTTCAGCCGAGCCACTTTGTCATAAAATAACAAAATTTCATAGTACGGCCAAATTTCGGCAACATGGCAGATAAGCTTGTCTGGATTTTGTTAAATAGACACTATAGTCACCAGAACAACTACATCTTAGTGTAGTGGTTCTGGTGTCTATAGCCTCTCCACGCTCTATGCTGGAACTCTATGGGAAAGCATTGCATTGGCTGAGATCATCATGATTGAGATTGGGGACAGGCGGGTCGAAACCGGTGCGCGTGGGAAAAAGTTGAGGTGGATCGGTCACCTAAATAGTTAGCTAAACACTATTCAGGATAACGAATAAGACAAATTAAAAGGGGATAAAAATGGGCCACTTAGTGTTTTTTAAAAGTTTTTTTTATTTTATTTTTTAAGGAATTTAATGTTGCAGCTGGCATCACTAATGGATAATTATTTGTGCTACCAGTGGATAAATAGTTCAGATTTTTTAAATGCAGACTGGAATTCAAGCATCCCAGACCAGATTGAATAAATCCAGATCTGGCTTTCAGCCATTCTCCTGTTATTGGTCCAGTAGAAAGCAGGACTAAATTCTGACTCATTTGCCTGTAACGCGAAATCAGGAAATTGTTAAACAGTGTGAACAATGTCTGGATTTTTCAGTACAAATGGCCAGCCGGATAGGTTTACCCTGTTCATTTAGACTTCAGTGAATAACCCTGTAGGAGTTATGAGTTTCTGCTGCTGCATCACTTGGTGGCAGTGTAGATGCAGTTGCTGTCCCCATGCTCTACGTATTTGTGTTTTTATTGCATTCCAAACCTCATGTTGATGGGTTAATATTAAAGACTTAAGATATCAAAAATACACAGTATGATAACTAATGATAACTTAGTAGAAATGTGTCCAGGACAATACGTTGATACCATTTTATTCACAATATATGTGACAATCCAATATTAGGTATTACAGGTGCTCTTTAAATGTAGATTTTAAGATTCTGAACAGTTTAGTGAATAACTCTGAAAATACAATACCATCTATACAGAATTCTAGCCAAATCCCTCCAGTATATTTAAAAATGTTACTTGTATTTAAGTTTTGCTATCATCATAGCGATAAAGACTGTGATTGTGGGTTCTGCAGAAAACCATAAATGCAGTTACTGCTTCTCTTACAAGTAACACAATGTCTCATCTCCCAACTCTTAGAATAAACCCCCATGATAAGAACTGTCTTAGAATGAACCCCTGTGTAAAGAACTATTTGAAGTTACATGTGTATTTTGAGCTCAGAACATAGAGCACATAAATGCAGTCCACTGCCAGCAGACATGGTGAAAGAGGTTTATAGGTAATTCTATCTTTTTATCTTTTTCTGTTACTTAATTCTTCCAGCACAGAGTATAGAAGTAAAATATATAAGGGTGAATTTGTAATGCACATAATTTGAGGCTGACAGATTAACCTAAAAATATTTAACCAGAAATCAGAGAAATTTAAATCTTACCAATATTTCTACTAATGCCATCTATGCCATCCATGTCAAGCTCGAAATCCACAGGATCCACGTAATTATCAATCTTGATATAGATAAAAAGAGATACAATCAAACAAAGATTTATGATTCTTCTATTGATTAAGTTCATTAGTTACACACAACACTATTTTCTACAATAGCCTAAGGTGGTGGCTATTCTTTTCCGTGAGACAGTGGTTATGGTGGTCTAAATAAGGTCTCTCTGTTTAACTTTAACAGAGTAATTAACCATCTATTTAGGTGTTTTTACCTGTCTATAAGTTGTTTTTAAGTGCTATAACAATGAATTTAGTAATTAAGTTTGGTCAGATGTAAATTTTGGATTCAATGCAGTATTACTATTTAAATGGCAATTGCTCTTTCAGAATAATGAAGGCACGGTTGCTTTAAAAGGCATTTTATTTCCTACGAAATAGCACATTGAGACAGGATTATACATGAAGCTAAATGTTTTGAGATGTGCCTGTTTGATGTTGCAAGACGTTGTGCATTTTAAAGGGTTACACCAAACACCATCATCACTTTAGTGATTTAAAGTAGTCATGGTGCTTGGAGTCTGTATGTACAGCGTCTCAATAAGAAATGGACGTACAACGTCACTAGACAGCTCGAAAAAAGTTTTAAATGTGTGCACATTGGGCATCTGTCTTCATCACACATATCACACCCCCCGCGATAGAACTGTGTTAGAGTGAACCCTGAGATAAGAACTGTGGGAAGTTTCCAGCGGGAAAGCTGAATCTACTGCAAGCAGCCATATTGGAAGAGGAGCAAACATTTTTCAGGAAATTCTATCAGCTTGGCTATCGGTACATTCTCCCCCTCCGGAAAGAGGCAGTGGCTGTGGGGTGAGATCACAGGTAAGTGTACATTTATTTGTTTTGTTTGGGGGGAGAGGGGGAGTTATCAGGTGGGAGGGACAACTGTGCCAAAAATTTTACTACAACTCAAAACAGTGTTTTAATATAAAATTAAATAAAAAAACTCTTTAACCATTCTATTTGAAATCAGCTGCGTTCTGATTGGTTGCTTGGTACTTTCAACAATTCGCAATACAAGAAGAAAAATAATGGTCAGGGACCAGAAAATCTGCACGAGGATAAACTAATGGCAGCTCCCAGCCAAGAGCAGATTTATGGGACAAAACATGAACATAGGTATATTCTATGACTTTGACATGCATTTATTTTTTTTCAACTTCTGTAAATGCTCTGTTTTGTTAAAACTACATTTAAATGGAGTCTATACTTATTTTTTTTTTTTACATACTGATGAAAGGGGAACGGGAATAGGAGAAGGAGAATAAAAGGAGGGGGAAAGGCAGGATAAAAAAAAAAAAAGATTAGGTAAATCAGACAGACAGCAGGGATATAAAATAACTGTCTAAGTGTTTTATGTACGTGGCTCATCAGAATAGATGAGCCACGTACATATTGAAAAGTATGCTCGTAATGAAAGCAGGCAATATACAATAAAAAATAACATAAAATGAAAATGTCATAGAATCTCACCTGGACTTTGTGATGATGCATAAGGTCATTGCTGAAAGTGCTGCCAACTTTGATTCCATTATCCATCACAATCTGTACGACAACCAATGGGAAGAGAAAGACCAACAATAATGTAACGAGATAGAGTAGGCTTTGGGATACACAGAAATACAGCTGGCATTACAAAGCATTACTCCATGTGGTCAGCAGGAGCAGAGGATGTATTAACCAATATTTCATACATTAAGTAATATTTCATGTATTAACCAATATTTCATGCATTAACTAGTATTTCATGTATTAACCAATATTTAACGCATTAACTAATATTTCACGCATTAACTAATATTTCACGCATTAACCAATATTTCATACATTAACTAATATTTCATGAATTAATGAAATTTAATAAATTTGGGCATTTGGTAAAAGGAGAAATACAGGAAAGAATTGCATGCAAGAGATATTACAGGGAATAAATCAGTAATTCCTGAGAACCATTCCTTCCTCCCAATGCCCGTAAGACCAGAGCCTCATGTAGCAAGATTCCCATTCAGTAACCAAATATCTCAAACACCTAAACATTGAGGGGTTTTACCTAACAAGAGAGTTTCAGAATTGAGGACAAAATAGGATTTATTTCAATTTCTACTACATTCTCCAATGTCTTAATTTACTGCAACTCACTGAGAAATGAAAACCCCCACTAGGACGGTCACAGCTATAGATATGAAGAACATTCAAAGAGATATAGATAAAACGCAAGGATTTTCTTTTTTATAGGTTGCTCGCGATTTTTTAGTTCTACGGTTTTCTTTTTCTGTAAAACTAGAATTTAGAGAAGGGAGCATGCAAACGAAATAATATAAGCCGGTTGGAGCCGAGAGTTAATTTCACATAACAGTGAGGCTGCTAACCGAATCCACAATCAGCCATTTAATATTACAACAATGTCTGATTCTGTAGTTCTACCTGGATGAGGTTAAACTGAGCTTATAATATTCCCATGGAATATAAAAGTACTGGCACATTCGCACCAGATTAATTTTGACAGCAAATTTCAATTTAGTTTTAGTTATAGCCTTTTGACTAAAAAGCCTTTTTAGTTTTAGTCGACTAAATCTCCAAAATTTTAGTCGACTAAATCTGACGAAAATTGTTAGTTGACGAAATTAAATCGGATTTGCACCTGATCATCGGATGTATCCAGTTTTGCTGCTTCTGTCCCAGCGCCGTCCGCCATATTGTTCCTCTCTTCCCTAGAACCCCACAATGCTGCTTGGAAAGATTCCGATTGGGACGCTTGCTCTTTTCTCTCTGCTGTAAGATTGAAACAGTTTAGTTAAGATTACAATTAAAAACAAAAAAAGAACATAATTATAATATCACACGTAGGTTTAAAAATAACATAAAAGAAGGGGTCTGAAATCACACAGTTGGCAACAACAGTGTTGAATGTCAACAAATATAGAGTTATTCATGAAGGTATGCGGAAAATGTCAGGAATTCAAAGTGACTTTTAGGCAAAACTGGGCATGTACGTTATTGTAGGACCTATTATTCCCTATCTGCTATGAGTTGCCAATCTCTACGTTAAGGACAAAAACACTGGATAGTTTATTCACCGAACTAGAAATGAAAAAGCATTTCTACCGGAGCTGAAAATTTTAGGTCAGTTGGAAAATAATTTCAACCCAAATTAAAATGCCACAATCTCATTAAAAGCACAATCGCTTGGCTTTTCCGCTACACAGGGATATGCCAACCACATTGGAGGTAGTGTGCAAAGTGTTTAAAGTAAGCTGGCGCCAAGGACCTCCTGACACCATAACAACGTCAGTATGATGCAGTTATTATGGTACTTGGAGGGTATTAAAACATGTTTTAAAACATATTTTTGCGCAATGCCACAGTGTACTTAGATAAACTAATGCCCAATTCACTCATATAATCCACCTTTTAATCTTGTATCAGATTGCATCTTGGAATATACATCAATGCTACAAACAATAAACTAACCCTAGAATAAAATAATTAAATAGATCACAAGGGTTATAATGACAGTGCACACAAAAGGGCATTTGGGGGTGCTCATCAGTATAACGTGAGATTCTCATGCTTCATCCTCAGCCCAATTCTCCTTCGCTCAAGGTTACCATCCGTTAAGCCCCTTATAAATGTAACTTTCATTCCATTTAAGCACCTTCTAGCAAGACAAAAGGACATCTGCTCAGCGCTGGCCTGTCGCTGCTGGATATGTATCAGGTATGAAAATAATATTCTTTAGAAGCTATAAGATAAAAATAAAAAGGACTGCCTTAAATTTGGCTCTGCACATTGAAACAATAAAGCTGATCTTTAATTTCAATGAGGTGTGCGCAATCCATTGAACATGGAAACATTTCAGAGCTTAGCCCAGATACCCCAGTGCCTCTATGCATTGTGTATTAGTAATCACAGGATGAGCTTGCAATAGATTCTTCTTATTATTCACCGCTTTTATTTTACGGGGTGCCCTTCTCACCCCGGTGCTTTGTGTGCAGCATAATCTCGTTGAAATGGCACAAAGGGTAAAAGAAAGCCTTTTTGGTAATCTCACCATGGGGCACTATAGAGGGGATTGATCAGAAACCCAAGAGAGACGATTCTTCTGGGTTTTCTATGAAACAAAAGTACTGTTAAGGATCTTACGATACGAGTTTCAGGAGAATTCAGGTTTTTCTTCCCCTAGATAGAGATATATATATATATATATATATATATATATATATATATATGCCCGACATGGGGTCCTTGTAAAATTCTGCTTCATTTCAGAAGCACAAAGTTAGGGAATAAATTAATTTACCAAGTCCTGCTGTGACTTAGATGGTAGCAGCACTTAACAGCTTAGGGAACGTGAAACATGTTTGTATGACAGAATCAGGAACATTTAAAAAGAGGCAGCAGTGGTTTATTTATGACAACATCTATTCATTCATTTAAATGTCAGATGCTGAACTGAAGACATAGCATCCTCACAGTCAAACAAGCTTTTTGGCATGTGATCCCTTTAGGATGCTGTGTATTTTAGCAAACCTCCTAGGTGTCCCTGTTCAAGATGGACAGCCTGATTTGGGATTCCTAACAAACTACACTTTCAGTGATGCTTATTTGGGGTGCTAAGATAACCCATCAGTGTTATTTACAATTGATATAAACAGCTTTTATAAAAATGAGAGACAAGTAGCTACGTCGCCAAATGCTGTGGATGATTGATTGTGAAGCAGTGGTCATTGTAAAACTGCATATAGATATTTGTCAGGATATCACAATTATTTTTCTTACACCTAAGTGTAAACACTTTGAAAAAACAAATATGGGTGAAACGCGTTAGTGTTTTTAAGTCATTGGTTTGTTTGTTTTTTTAAATTCTTTATTTTCTTGGTGCGTAATTTTCAATAAAGCAAAGGTTGACGGATTATGCAGACATCAGCATCGTACATTGCAAGGCAAATATATCAGAAAACACGCACCATTTTTTTTAAAAATTTTAAAGAAACAAAAGTTGAGTATAAAATATTCATGCACGGGCAAAAATTCCAAAACTTTAAATACATTAAATACAGGCTGCCAAACATCAGTGAGGCTGGCTAGAGATGAGGAAGACTCATTGAGTGATGCTGGTGTCAGACTTGTAGGCTAACATAAAAGGGCGAGATAGGTATACCCCGCTGGTGCTTAGTTTGCTGCATAGCCTCATAGTATGTGTAGGGCAAGTTTAATTAATACTCTGCTGTTGAGGTATACATGCTTCGCTTTTAGTTAGGGGCATCTGAGGCCTCCCTGTTTTCTGAGTTGCTAGGGGATACAAGGTAATTTGGGAGTGTCAGAGTGAAAACTGTGGTGTCTGGTCACTATAGTATACAAATAGGTAGTCATAGCAATTGTACGCATATATGGTGCTAGCTGGGGTAGTATGATGTTTAGCGTGGTCAGTAGGCGGGGAGGAGAGGGTGTGGGACAGCCATTAATACCGTTCGAGCTGAGGATGATGGGTGTTGTCGTGTGTATTGTATGGGCAACAAATATAACCATAGTAAGTCCAAAGAAACTGAGAAACCTGAGAGAAGTAGGCTGCTGACCTATATCAATGTGAGCCACAGTTTGAGAGAGGCGGTCCCTATGTAGGGAGAGTCCGGTGGAGTCAACCGCTGACCGTTCTTGTGTGGACCGGTGAAGGACAAAGGGTCGTGCTGTAGCCAGGTTTCACTGATTAGGTGTCCGTTCCTTTGCCCGGGTTACCATGGAAGCCAGAGAGTCCTGTGGCAGGTTCAGTGTCACCAATATCCAGGCCTGAACGTGGTTTGTCTGGTTTCAATTTTTTGTTTTTTCGGCCCATAGTGGTGCTAGAACAGCGGGTAAGTGTTTGGGTCCACCAATTTAACTTTTTGGGCTCTCCAGTGGGTATAGTTATTATCAGATGCCTGGAGCTCTCTCTCAGTGCAGCCACTCTGCTCGGTTGCTTGGCTCCGACCCCCTTTATGTCATTGGTTTTATTATCTTTATCTTATCTGACGTAATAAAAGAGAAGTGTCTCCAAAAGAAATAATATTAAAATAAATCAAGAAAATGAAAAACAAAAAAAACAAAAAAAAAAACCTTTGTTTTGTGCCAGGCTCCATAAAAACATCTAGGATTTTATTCTATATTTGTCAATACCAACTTCCTTTTTTGACCCTGAACCTAACCAAAAACATTTTTCTTCTTCACTGGGCGAGTGGTTTTCAAGCAAACAATCCTTGAACGTTCAAAACACAGCTGTGTAAGTTTCAACGTACACTAGCAATATTCCTCTGTTTCAATGGATTCACAGTAAGTAAATGTCTCCTAAAAATATATCCAATGAATTCCATATGGCTCAATTACACTAAAGAAATGTAACAAAGTAAGAAACAATTGTTGTTAATGCAAGAGGACATGTTCGTGTCACAAAGAGCTTTATTGCTCCCAATTTGGGAAGTGTGCATAGTTGACAACAGAATTTCAAATGTTATAGGACTAGTTTGGCCATTATAAAACCGTTAATGAAATGAAGTTGTGATGGTGCTAGGAGTTTCCTGGTGCTGGCTCACCTTTTGGGGTTAAAGTGTCAAGAATGGTTTAACATTAAAGTCTGTGCCCCAGTGCCAGATTGCTCTGCTCCCTGGCCTTCCGTTTTCTAAAATCCTAGATAGCAGACGGCTCAGTCAGCATCAGGCAGGGGCACCACTGATTGGATTAGAGCAGTAAGCTGACACTCTAAGCCAGGGCTCGATAAATCCTAGGCGCCAAGTCGCCATGGCGGCCAGGAATTTTGTCCAGACCCCTGGGATTTGTGAGCCTGTTCCATACGAGGCGGGCGGCCTGGAGAGAGTGGAATGCGGGCAATCGTCTGCATGTACTGTAAGCAGGCTGAAAGCTCCCTCACGCGGCACTTAGTGAGGCCAGAGTCGGAATATGACGTCCCTCTGCCCCGGCATAACTAAGCACCACACAAGGGAGCAGAAGAGGAAGCTGGGAGAATTAAAATTGCATTATAACCTATAATAATTTGTGAATGTGTGTTTGTGGGTCTGCCTGTCTGTGTGTGATTATGAGTGTCTGTCATGGTATCTGTGTGTCTGCCTGTCTGTGAGTATGTGTGTGTCTGTGTGTATGTCTGTGTCTGTGAGTATGTGTGGGTCTGTGAGTATGTGTGTGTCTGTGTCTGTCTGTCAGATAGTGTGTATGTTTAGGTGACCATCCCCCCTCCGATCGCATGGGAATCGTGTTTTTACTTACCTTTTTTTCCCACGTCATGCCGGTCTTCTCGCAGGCGGCCATGCCTTTATGGCTGAGATCATCAAGCTTGATTATCTTGGCCAATCCAATGATTCCCCATATGAAAAACATTACGCCAATCGGTATTCTCACTGTTACCTGCTTCACGGATACTGGACCCCCAGCGGCGATGTCACAGTTACCCACAATCCATCAAACAATAGAATACCTCAGATGGCAATCTGCAGAATTCATGGACAGAGGAGGACAAAATGGAGGTGCCCTGACAGGTATCAAGATCCAGAACAAGAAAAAAAGAAGATAAATATAAATAAAGTCAAGTGGCAATAGGGGAAGTACAATCATTAAGATACAAGGGGCATAAGGTTAGGAAAACCAAAAGAGAAAACAAAATTGGCAATGCCACTTTAAGAGTTTTCACCTGAAAAAGTCACTGCACCGTGTTCTTGAGATTCATTCTATGGTACAGGAAAGCCAAACTGACTAGCATTAAATGTAGATTGGGATCCAAAAAAAATAGCATGCACTTCATCTGACAAAATGGGCCATAATCCATGTACCCTAAATATCTGATAATTATAATAACTAATTAGGACTGGAAAGAAATTGTAAACATTTTTGTTTATGGGTAATTTATTGTTGTAATGCCTTGACTCTTGATCTTGGTTCCTGGAGGAAGGACAGATCATCCCCACACCCCTTTCTTTTTTTCCCTCCCCCACATCCCATTTTGAGCTTTTTCCCACGATTGCTGCAGTCACTTATAAAGAAGTCGGTAATTGCTAAAATGGCAGTCATTATCATTCACAATTGCAGGCTGTTGCGATAAAACAAAACTTATGGTTTGAGGACTGGCAATCAGCGGCTGTTGAACATTTTAGTGTCCCCCATAGAGATTAAAAGAAGAATATAAAAGCTAAAAAGCGCTTAACTACCTGTTGCCATCGGACTAAAAATTACACCTGTCTTATTTAGACAAAAAAAAAAAGAGAACTTGAGAATTGTAAACTATCAGCACATCCCAAAATAATACATACATTTATCAGATATTTCAGTAAAATTAAGCATTAACTCCTACCTATAAGCAAGGTACACGCTGTTTTTTTAATAAATAGCTGTGAAATTGGGCAAGTGTGGTGTGTAGAAAGAGGCGAAGTCCGAATGAGCTTTGTGACTTTTTTATGGTAATGGTGGAGTTACAATGAAAAATAATTGGAAAAGTGTTTGTTTGATTTTCTTGATGAGCATCAAATTTGTAAAATGGAAAACGCTAAGTAGTTGTTCGGTATCAATGGAGGCAATGTGAGTACCATTCAATCATGGCAATCGTGGAAGGGAGCCCATTATATTTTCAAGACAAAATACTATGAACTCTTCCTTTAAATGACAAGCATATGGAAGAACCCAAACACCCGAAGAGTGTGTCCTTATTATATTAGAAATTGGCACTTTTATCAATTAAAGGGACACTGTAGAGTCAGGAACATATCTGTTTTCATGTCTCCTGAATAGATTAGTTTTAGGGAGCATTGAATACAATGATTCTCTATTGCAGATCATGACAGCACTGCGCATGTACACATGACATCACTATATGCTATGGTATGAGAATCGCAAAGTAAAACAGTTCTGGCTCTCCTACCTAGAGAGTTTAAACAAAATTCAAAAACAAGTTATATATTTTGATAACAATTTTTACTTAAATATTATCAATCCCTTCCGTGTAGAAAAGTGATGGCTAATCTGCCCCGAACTCTTAGAAAGTAAATTTCCCATTAGAGGCAGTCCAAGCATCATGGGAAATGTAGTCTATCTAAGCATTCCTGTTGCCAAGGCTACAAATTAGTGGCATTTGTTTCCCACAAATCACCTGGCTGACATTTTGACTGGTTCCCATTTTATATATTTTTTTTTAATTTCCTTTTAAAATAAATAAAAAAAACTGGACAAAACTAGCTTTTAAGTATACATAGTAAACCATTATAACCCAAGCTACCGCAGCTTGATAGCAGATAAACTCTTCCTAAACACTGACAAAACTGTTACAATGATCTTTGGAACTGTACCTAAATTACATAAACTACAAAATCAACAACTGTGTATCAGAACAAATTCACATAGCACACTGACAGCAGTATGTTCTTTTAAATATCTAGGTATGTTGCTAGACCCCAATCTATCGTTTGGCCTTCACATTGAAAAAAATCTCTTCAAAACTTTACCCAAAACTAGGTGCCCTGTGCAGAAACAAATCCTGCCTAAGCCGTACAGTAAGAAAACAGATAGTGCAACAAATGCTAATGCCGGTCACTGATTATGGGGGTGTCGTTTATGCAAACCCATCATAATAAACGTAATATGATATATAATTCATTCTGCCGCTTTGTACTAGAATGTAATTACTTTACCCACCACTGTGACATGTTAAAAGGGCTAAACTGGCTATCGCTGGAATCCCGACGCACTCTTCATCTTTCCAGCCTTTTGCATAAGAGCATTTCTGGGAAGCCCCCATCCTACCTGAGTAGAATGCTTTCCCCAGCTGTTCCCACCTCCTATAACCTCCAATCCAGTACTAGCACAATATTTAGCATACCGCAATACAAAAATAAAGTGGCCCAATCCTCCTTTTCCTACAGAGCACCGCAATTATGGAATAACCTCAGGGACACAGTCAAATCTTCATTCAATCTAAAATCTTTTACGAGATCTATGGTAATATAACTCAGCACAGAATGCACCTGTCATGGTTGAATATATTTATAACCTGTTATGTATTACATTTATATGTGTATATGTATATATATATATTACTTGTGTTATATATTACTTGTATATTGTATTTTTGTAATATTGTATCCTATTGTAACAATGCAATGTTTTGTGGACCCATGACATACTTGAAAACGAGAGAAATCTCAAAGTATCCATCCTGGTAAAATATTTTATAAATAAATAAATAAATAACCAGTACTATTAAATTTAATTATATAACAATTAAACGGCAATAATGCTTAAGGTTTTTAACTTACAATGTCACTACGGATTAATGCAATAAAAGGTCCTCTTCGTCTGTGATTGTAAAGTTTGTCCCAAAGACCCTTTAGAAGTATCATTTAATTGTAACGATCGTTATCTGCTTTCCTGCGTATTTCGCTGCCCGCCTATGTTTTCCAAGTATAATGTAAAAGGTGTTTTTTCTGGTTAGGCCAGTGTGAGCGGCCCTGTTATTTTCTGCATGACTAGTAGAACAACAAGCCGGCAATAGAAACAGCAGATGTTGCCAAGTGATCTGTGAATTAAAAACATCTCTTTATTTTCAGGTGGGATTCTGCGCTCGCAGTCAATAAAACCCACAGCCATCCATTTCCTCTGCCCCTACACATCCATCGGCACACTTCATGGATCAGCCTTAAAATATGAACTTTTTATTCTCTTTATCTGCACCGTAGGACTATTGTCAGATCACTAAACGAGAGCCTACAGCAACCATGACAACACTGGGGGGGGGGGATCACGACTGGAGGTGGGAATGCCAGAAGGATATCTCCGAAAGTGTTTTGAAAAGTTACAATTCTGTCATTAGTTTGTTAGCATTTACTAAAGTGTGTTAAAAGTGAAAAACAATGTCCTCATAGGAAATTTCTCCAGTTTGACGCTAAAATTTTCATTTCAGCAGACCGCCAGATTTAGAAAAAAAGAAGAGTAAAACAGAATAAAAATGTTAGGAAATTTAATAAATGTGTTGCACTGCCGGTAAAAATATATATATTTAAAACTAATAGGGCGCAAAAGAAGCAACAGAAAAAAAGACAGATTTAATAAATTGTGCTAAATATTCCTCATAAAAGTGTCAGCGACTCTTTTAAATCTTGTCCATGGTTTCCAGAATGGGGACACGTAAGCGTTTTGGGGACAATAGGACGGAAGTCTAGAACTAGGACTTTCCTGCTGAAATCCAGGATGGCCGAAAGGTATGTTATAATGCCAACCTAAAAATTCTGAAAAGACAAACTAAAAGTATCATCACTCCAGTTCAATTTTGATTTTGTTTCCAAAGTTGGCCAAATGAGTATGACTGAGAGAGGTCATAACATCTACTCCCATGTATACTCAAGAACCAGACACATTTATAGCTATACATCCAAGAAAAATACTTTGTAATATTATGATAATTATTAATGTAATATAATTCAAAATAACTTCCATGTGCAGGGCAAGGTCCTCTGTAGAGTAGAGCAATTTTGAAACCATTTTAAAAATGAATATAGCGTTAAGAAAACCATTCTCATGAATTACAGGAATCCAGATTCTGAACATTAAAGAATAACCAGTTCCCCAATTTATATTTTCAACAGGGCTGATAAATTCTATTCTGGAATCGTGATACAAAGAAAGAACTGTGAAACTCAGAATGCCTTTGTTACTATAGTAGCAGAAAATAAATGTTTGCTTTATGCTATTTTTTCTATGTTGTCATTTATAGAGGGACAAGTTAGATAAAATAATGTTACACTGTGAACAAGGAGAACAGAACATATGGAACCAAAACATTAAATAACATATTACAAGTTAATGCATATCCATTATATAAAACAAAGTACCGGTACATTAAGAGGGCTGTTTTACAGAGTGTATTATACTGTTCAGACAGGTCATTGGGAAATTAAAAGATCTGGATCCGTTTAGAGATTTATTATAACACACAAAGGGCCCTCCCAGTATGCTTTGCAATCTGTCCAAATGGTACTTTGGCCATTGGTGTATAGTCCTAAATAAATCCTTTTTAAATGTAATTAAATACATAATTGTCAAGAATGATATGCACTACTTTAATAGGTTTTACGTTATATAATCTTTAGGCGCATGTGTGAAAAATATTAGCCGGATATAATTTTTTTTTATTGACTCAGAAAACCATGGCTTGTTTGTAGTTATCACAAATATTGAATTAAATCTTAGATTGCATTTTAAAATAACATTTTGGAGAATTAAAAAAAAAAATGTTTATTTATTTATTTATTTATATTTTGGATTCAATTTAATTTGCAGATGATTGAAAACATATTGCACACATACCACCCTAGTGTCCCTGTTTAGGAAAAACAGTCCCACATTGGGAAACCCATACCCATCTGTCTCTCATTTTTTGCTTGGCGTGTACAGTAGAGTTTAACCCTTGAACGAGCTGGAGGTAAAGCACAGTGATATTTGGTCGGGTAAGAGTTACTGCTGACCAAGGATCACTTAAATTTCTTTACTACCGTTTAGTAGGAACTGTGTATCTGTGCTTAGGCTACAGTTTTTACAGTTTTTCCTCAAGGCTACCAAAGAATTAAGACAGTTTTAGGTTTACTTGAGCTGGGACAATTTGGCTCTCTCTGCTCTAGATATTCAAAATGCTGAGAATTATGTAATCATAAATACACTACACCTGCAGGAGCATGAGAAAAGCTTGCCAGAAACTGTTCGTATGTCTGCTCTGGAATACTAATAAAACGATGCAAGATCTCTTGAGCCAATTCTTCCTCTGACTTGGGAGGGTGTAAATCCTGTTGACTTGGCATGTTTCCCTGTCTTCTCCTGGAAGTGCAAGAAGGAAACGGATTATTGAAACAAGAAGCTCACAGCTTTCATGCAATGTATCCAGGTATCCATTCATCATAGTTGACAAAAAGCATCAGAAAATGTAGCAGCAATTTACTCGATAGAAACATAAGCTTAAAAAACACAACGTTTGAGCAGTCTCAACAGCCATGACAACTATAACAAAAAAGCAGCAACACTCTAAAATATAAATATATATAAAATGTACTTTTAAAAATAGAAAAAAAATATTTCAAACGCAACATGAGGACCAAAGAAATAAATACATTTTAATTTATTTTAAATACATATAAATGGTGTATTATATAAAATAAGCAGGCAAAATACATAAAGAGAATTAATAGTCAGTAGATCCTGCACAATATTTTCAATTAGACCCTGGAATATGGAGTACAGTACTCGGAAAGAGATCCATTCTTCTGAAAATGGAAATGGAACTAATTCAAAAACGCGCAACAAGAATGAAAGATTTTTATTGCACCGTAAGCTGCACAAGCAGTATAACTTGCATAGATGCCCGGTGTGTTTCTTTAAGTTTTGTCTCAGACTAAACAAGTGACCACTTTTGAAGCTGATGTCTATTTTACTGTAGTTTTCTACCACTATAGTTTCCCTTTAAGTTTATTAGAATTAACATACCATATTATCACATTATAGAGCTGTATAGAAAGGCAAGTCGGTGATAACAAATTTAGGCAAACGAGATGAGACTCCTTTTCACGGTTGAACAATATGTTGTATCCCATTGCTCCCAGTCTTTCATTGCTGTCCTGGGTGGACAGAATCACCCTTTGTAAAAGAAAAGTGTAGATCCAGTTTCAGGAGATAGGGGGCAGGCTATGGGTGATTTTTTTGTTTAATCACACTAGTTTGCCAACAAATGGCGGGGTGCACACATAGACTTACAGCACCATAACCACTACATGAATAGTAAGTGTTCTAAGACTTTGAGAGGCCCTTTAAATTCTAGAGAATTAAAACAGACATGTAAAAAATAAAATTTGGGGGGTGGGGGGGAGGGGGATTTTAATCCAGGCTTGTGGTTTTATTTCATGGAAATATGACAATCTCTATATTCTTGTCAATTAATCTCCAGCATCTTAATCGTGCGGTTTAAATTAATTTCAGATCAGTATAAAAGGTTAAAAATGCTCTCATGGGATCCAGCAGGCAGACTTTACTAACCACAATATTTTGGTGGTTTATATGCAAATTGTGGTGGTTTTTAAAAGGAAACAATGTCGTTTGCTTTTATTTTCTTGTCTTCAGATTACAAATCTGATGCGTTTGTGATCTAGAGATGTATCACTGTTGCAAACAAGTATCCAGTCAAGTTATTGATACCCAAATATTAATTAATGCAGACCAGGAATATTTCACTAAAGTGAGAATGGTCAGGAATTAAGTCAAAATAGCTGAATTGGAAATTCTGTTTTATTTTTGGCTATTTTGTCCTTAAAGGACCACTATAGTGCCAGGAAAACAAACTAGTTTTCCTGGCACTATAGGGTCATTAGGTCCCCCCCACCCTCAGGGTCCCACTCCCGCTGGGCTGAATGGGTTAAAACCCCTTCAGCCACTTACCTTTCTCCAGCGCTGGGCTCCCTCTGTGCTGGGAAACTCTCCTCCTGTCGCAGGCGCATTCAAACAGCCTATATGAAAGCATTACTCAATGCTTTCCTATGGACGTTCAGCGTCTCCTCGCTGTGATTTTCACAGTGAGAATTGCGGAAGTGCCTCTAACGGCTATCAGGGAGACAGCCACTAGAGGCTGGATTAACCCTCAGTGAAGCATAGCAGTTTCTCTGAAACTGCTATGTTTTCAGCTGCAGGGTTTAAACTAGAGGGACCTGGCACACAGACCACTTAATTGGGCTGAAGTGGTCTGGGTGCCTATAGTGGTCCTTTAAATTCAAAATTTACTAAAGTGAGAATTGCAGGGAATTCAAATAAATCTCCACACGTCAAGTATTTATTGTATCTAATAACATCGAAATTAGTTCATTAATAAAAAAAAGTTATTGACTCCTTAAAACCTACTTGGAATTTTGGCCCACCCTGTAAAAGATTTTAAATATGGTCGGCATTGTGTACACCAGAGAGCATATTCCTTCCGAAAACATGTACTCTACTAGAGTGCACTTAGTCCGAGTGAAAGTACTCAACCGTGCGCTTTGGGCCCTGTGTCGGTCAAACTGACACACTGTCTTTATGGGTGGGCACAAGCAATATAGTCTCACCAGTGATACGCATTGTGTCACTGGCCAGACCCCCACCCCCAGTCATACCTTGTTAGAACGTATGTATTACCAGAAGGATAGTTGGTCTTTCAAGATCCATAGGATTCTAACAAATTCTTAAAGAGTATCTGCACTTTTGCACAAGCTTTTTACATACTACTGGAGGAGCCATGTTGGAATTATTTTCATAATTATTCCTCCCCTTTCATTGTCTTCTCACTTGTGATAGAAGCGGTTATGAAGTTAGCACATTATTTATGGAAAATAACACAAATATATAATGACATATGGTTAATTGGCAAAACAGAAAAGAAATGACAAAATATAGCCAGCAAAAAACGCGGAGTTGGAAGAAAACAAATTGTTTCTTATCAATAATTGTAAAATCTCCAGGACATTGCACTGATTTAATAACCAAAACACTAAGGTTGTTTATTAACTAAACTGAATTGTGGAAAATTGCAATTTTTAATCCAAAATATCAGACTAAAAAAAATGTATCGAAATTCACATGTTTTTTTTCTGCTTGCCTGCTGTCAGATCAAAATTTGAAATAGACCTGTGTTCTGAATTCTCCACAATGTGGGGTTTATTGAGTAAAACTCTTACATGTAAACTTTTCCTGAAGGTAAATTTAAAATCAGCCAATAGGCTCAAAAGAGATAAAATTTAAAAACAATTACAGCCGTTGTTAAGAAGTGAAACTCGGCTTCAGACTGGTCCTACAAAACCTTAAACAACTTAGAAAGTTTCAACCGAAGTTTTGAAGAAAAAAAAAACGTCACAGACAATTTCCCACATCAGTCTGAGGTTAGTGTCACATCTGGTGATTGTTACCAACGTAGTTTCAGCGACACACAAGCTACCTTCCCTAAAATAGCACTGCAAGGGAGGAACGCATTGAATTGGGCTCATTCACATACTACAGGTACGTCCATTCCTTTAAGGTATAATTCTAAAAGTCATTTTAATTTACTTTTTTTTTTTTTATTTTTTTTTTTAGATATAATTCAGTACCTAATCCCCCCTCTAATAATATTGTAAAGCGCTATGGAATCTGTTGGTGCTATATAAATGGCGATAATAATCTACTAACCTATTCCTACTCAATGCTGGATTGTAAAGTTTACACACTAAAAACAGAATTGTAGCAAATTACATTTTTTGATGTTTAAAATGTAAACAACAATAGATGATTTGATAACAAATTCAAAAGTCGCCTACAGTTATAACCATTGGTTTTCTAAATTCTGAAATGAGAATTTGGGGTTTAGTGAATAAACCACCTGGGACGCTAGAGGTATGTTCAAACTACATTTCGTAGGTCGTAAAAAAAATTTTTTTTTTACATTTTAATATATTGAACAGATTCACCCCTACCCAAAATCTAATGGAAGCATGGTATAAACACATTTAAATCTAGTTTATTGCATAACGAAACCCCATATTTCAGAATTCCTTTATTCATTGCAGACTCACATGTATCAAATATTGCAGAATACTATAAAGAATTGCAACTGAGAGATTGAATGAAAAAATATGCCCAGATATGACATATTATTATTATTTTATTATTTATATAGCGCCAACAAATTCCGTAGCGCTGTACAATGACATATGAAAAATAACATTTTAGTTTCGTATAAAAAATAAATAATTAAACAGTCATTCATCATCATTGGGAACCTCTAGCCATCTAGGTGCAGATAAGACTGCAATTGCCATCATACTGAGTCAACAAGTTATATGCTGGGTAATCTGTGTTAAATTACCTTTTGCTTTTCAAAGAATTTTGCACATTTTCATATTCCATTATTTAATTATACAACCACTTTAAGAAGAAACTCTAAAAAAAAAAAAAAATAGCATCCCATATTATTTTGTCTCATAAAACCAACATGTCTGCAAAAAGTATAATCAGCCTCCACCATTACAAGCACAGTGAGTTAAAATAGTATATGTGTTTTGGCTGTCTGAGCAAGATGTGACTTGTAGCTTAGCAAATAAACATATTGCTCTCACATTACACAGTGAACATTGGGATCTTGATTCAAACATTATCTAAGCACCAAAATATGGCCTCGGTTTAATTTATTTTCGATAAGCTTTATAAATGATTTAATATTTTTAGATAACATTTTGGATAAATATTTTTTTTAAATAGTGTAATATTTTAATATTTTAATGTTTTTAAAATATTTTTCTCAAAATATTAACATCATAATAATATTTAAAAATAATATTTTATACATATATAAATATTATATATTATTGTTATTATTATGTTAATATTTTGAAAAGTTTATTCAAGAATATTGAATCATTTGAAAAAAAACAAACTCATCCAAAAATATTAAATTGACACCTATATTGATTAAGAACAATTTTTTTTTGTATTTTTGTATATTTAAATGTTAAACTTGACATGCCTTGTACCGTCCCTACTCCACTCCCCAAGTGTCCCTATTGAGAAGGGGAAGTCCCTATTTCTTGGGCCCAAATCCCTCTGTCCACTTCTCTATGAGCTCTACAGAAATAGCCGCCCATGGGTTGAGAAAATAATATTGAGAGGTTTAGCCATAAAACATCTGGGGAGGGTGCCAAAATGTATTCAATGTTAAGTTGATAAAGAACTGCTGAGGTTGCTAAAGGTTCCCTATAAGCATGAATACAATATGTTATTAAAGGGATACTCTAGGGCCCAACGTGTTTGCTATTTCTAAAGCATTATGTAGATATTATATTAAAAAAAATATACAAAACAAAAAAAGATACTCAACTTGAAGAAATACTCCACTACCTAGATACCAAAAAATAAAAATAAAAAATGAAATCATTGTTTAGTTGATATAACCCAAATAAAAAAAATGCATGCATTTAATTGTGCATTTTTTTTTTTCAATCGGGGTATATCTAAAACAGCTTGCAAAAACTACCGAACTCTTGACTGCAGCCTTTGCAAGTCCCCCCCTACTAACCCCGCCTACACTTTCTGTGGCTGTCCAATCACAGGCTTTCCAGTACAGCTCAATGAGAAGCATTTGCATGACAGGCTCTCTGGGCAATTTTTGCCTCTTGAGTTTATCTCCACTGAGCTAAACAAACCAGGAAGTAACAAGACCAGGTGTCTGAGTAACAGCCAGTGGGGTGTAACAAGGTTAAAAGGACACTATAGTCACCTGAACAACTTTAGCTTAATGAAGCAGTTCTGGTGTATAGAACATGCCCCTGCAGCCTCACTGCTCAATCCTCTGCCATTTAGGAGTTAAATCCCTTTGTTTATGAACCCTAGTCACACCTCCCTGCATGTGACTTGCACAGCCTTCCATAAACACTTCCTGTAAAGAGAGCCCTATTTAGGCTCTTTATTGCAAGTTCTGTTTAATTAAGATTTTCTTATCCCCGGCTATGTTAATAGCTTGCTAGACCCTGCAAAAGCCTGCACTATTCAAACATGAAGCTTTTCTGCAAATTAAAGTGCTTAAGGTGTCAGGGATGTACTTTCAAAAGCTGTGTGATTTTTCTGCTAAGTAGACGCCTCCAAGACCAGGAAGAGGCTCCACCAATTAGAAGTCGCTCGCTAGTCAGTGGGTTTTCTTCTTATAGCACAAAGCCCGGCCCAGCAGGGGTAAATGGGATTTGTCATGTCAGATGATGAGTGGAACTCTTCAATACTTTCAAACCAAGTGAAAGGAACAGACCCTAATGTTTTTTTGAGCGCCTTTAATTGGCAAAGCCCAAACACCAGGGCAGTATTCATCAAGTCGGGGGAATGATACAACACAATAACAACCACCTTGCTGATTTCACACAGAGAGCATTAATCTACACTTGCACGGTCTGTCTGACCTTTCTATACAGTGTCCCATTATACCAAAACATTTATTACACAACCACAATAAATTGGATCCAATAAATTATTCATCATGTAACATTTCATATAAAAGATGAATTTTAGCCGGGCTGTTTACCGTTCTGCACTCAGCGCTCAGTTATTTTAAGGGAATGTGAGATGGTTCCGCAAACATGCAATTAGCCAGGAATATATTAAATTAGCTGGGATAATGCATCTCTTGTAGGTACAGTATAGAAGCTATTTTAGGAATACGTTGAACATCTGTTGGATTCAATAAATATGTAGTGAGCTTTATGCCGATAGCATAGAGTAATTTCCATGCATTTTATAGACCTAGCAAAATTCATCTAGAACTGCAGTTTTCACGAGTATTTGTTGAGTGACACAGATGAAAATAAAAAAATTAAAAGTTTCATAGTATCACACAAAACCTTTTTTTAATGGACGGACGGAATTTTGAAACAACAACAAGCATTTAGGAAATCCCTTTATGAATGTTTTAAATTTCATAACGTTAGTCTTGCTTTTCCTCAATTCTGTAAATCCAGTAAAAAAAAATGTTAGACGATTACTGAATTAATCTAACAGATCTGCAGGGATCATTTCATAGATACAACTCTCTATCTCAGCAAAGGGACTATTCATAATATCTCCAGCTGTAGGGAGACCTCTAATGCCATCATCTCCACTTATTCTGTGGCGGGGATGAAGGGAATCAACACAACAAAAACAACATTGCTAAACTGTGATCCAAATCTCAGTCGATTTAGAGATTTCCTCCAATATTGGTATGCTGATGTTTTACAAATTAGTTGTAAACTCAACACAACTAAATTCAATTGTCAGCCTAATTTAAAAAAACACTGTAGGGTCAGGAACACAAAAGTGTTAAAATCACTATCTAACCTCTTCCCACCTCACACTGTGCAGCACTGCCCCAGGAAGCACTTCTAGCAGTCATTTGAGGAGTGGCCAGTGGAGGTATCCCTAGGCTGTAATGTAAACACTGCATTTTCTCTGAAAAAGCTGTAGTTGTTCTGATGACCATAGTGTCCATTTAGGTAAAAGCCCAGTGTCATTAGAGCACTTCTTGAGGGTGGGTAACAGGGTGGACAATGGAGATGCTGTTGTATACAATGCCCCTTGGTCCCGTCAATCTCTTATCCTAACTTTGCTTCCTATTGGTCTTGCTAAAGGACCAAGATTGCGGGGCTGCAGAGGGGGACGCTCAGTTTCATAGAAGACCCCAAAGTAAAATGGAGTGCAATTTCCACCACCTTAAAGTGGCTCTGTCAGCTTCTGGGTCTTTGCATTTTGATGACATCACCACTTGGCATGTGGTGCCCCAGGGGTGCAGTGCAGGTGAGTTATACTCCCCGGGCACCTCCATATTCTTTCTTCAGCTCCTGGCTCTTCATCTGTCTGGAGGCCATATCAGTGATGTACTCTGGTGCATGAGCAAGAGACCGAAAAGGAGCTCCTTTGTCAAGCGGAGGGAAAATACATGAGACAAAGGACTCCCCGTTTTGTCTTATGATATCTTTCAGTAAAATTCCAACACAGCCACAGTGTTTCAGAAAGATGTTATCTTTATGAAATGCTCAAATTTTCAGGAGTGGTGACAGAGGCGCTTTAACGCAGAATTGCCACCTCTCTGTAAAAGAGAGTACCTCAATCCCTCATACCAATAAATGCTATTAAAGGACTAACTGGATACGCCTGTGTTAAAAGCAAAGCAGCACTCATCCAAAGCTAGCCAGACTTACAATGTAATTAAAAAAATAAGAATGTTACGAATTAAAGGAACACTATACAAACCTGTATTCATAACGCTATAGTGCCCCTGTTCCTAATTGTATTCAGGGCCCCAGTTTGCCATAAAAATATTTTTGCAATCTTTTTACATCAGAGAGACTCCCTCGGCGCTGCCGGCCTCTCCACCTCAGCGTCATCAAGGAGGCATGGTTTCCTCCAGCGATGGTCCAATCCAATGCTCCTTATGGAGAAGCAATAGGAAAATGATGCTCATGCGCGGCAAAAGTTCATTCAATGCATCTCATAAGAATGCAAAATCACTTGAACGACTATTACCCGGTTAGTACAGCAGAAGTGGCTCAGTAGAACAGCCTCTATAGGAGTGTTTACCGCTTCAAGGTAAACATTGTTCTTTGTGCAAAAGGGCAAAATTTCACCTTGGAGGTTAAACATACAGGAAGACCGCAAACAGAAAACATAATTAAAAAGAAAATAATTTAATTTTAGTAGCCGTCAGGTTGTGCAATATCCAAGATGTGACAGTTTAGCTCTAACCTTTTAATACATGATGACTTTACTAACTGTACAATTTGATGTGTGTGTGATAGGGGTAACCAGTGATTGGCTGCAGGAATGCAATGCACTCTGTGTACAATCTGAGTATAAAGCAGGAATGTCAGATTCATCATTTTTCCTGAACACACAACTTGTACACAAGGATGTCATCAGCATTAATTATTATTAGTAGTAGTAGTAGTTGTTGTAATAAAGCACCAACAAATTCCACAGCGCTGTACAATAAGTAGACTAACAAACAAGTATTTGTGATAAGATGAGTTGGACACCCAGGAACAGAGGGTGTTGAGGGCCCTCATGAGACCATTTACAAAACCATTGGCCACAAACTGCTATAAACACACTGCCATGCACACATTAATACTGATGCACACACAGGTAAACACTGCCAGACACACATACACACACATGCACATTGCCAGACACACACACCCAAACCCAGATGCACACTGCCAGGCACACACACACAGATGCACACTGAAACACACACAGACAAAAAACACACACACAGATGCACACTGCCTGACACACAGAAATATACACACACAAATACACACTGCCAGACACACACACACACAAATATACACTGCCAGACACAGACACACATACACAAATATACACTGCCATACACACACACAGATGCACACTCCCAGGAACACAAACTCCCACACACACACACACACACACACTGCCAGACACAGTACAGAGATACACACTCCCAGGCACACACACACAGAGATACACACTCCCAGGAACACACACAGAGATACACACTCCCAGGAACACACACACACACACTGCCAGACACACACAGAGATACACACTCCTAGGAACACACACACACACAGAGATACACACTCCCAGGCACACACACACAGAGATACACACTCCCAGGAACACACACACACTGCCAGACACACACAGAGATACACACTCCCAGAAACACACACAGAGATACACACTCCCAGGAACACACACACACACACACAGAGATACACACTCCCAGAAACACACACAGAGATACACACTCCCAGGAACACACACACACACACACACACACAGAGATACACACTCCCAGGAACACACACACACACACACAGAGATACACACTGCCACACACACACACACACACACACACTGCCAGACACAGGTACAACACACACACACTCCCAGACACACACAGAGATACACACTCCCAGGCACACACAGAGATACACACTGCCAGACACACACAGAGATACACACTGCCAGACACACACACACACACACACTGCCAGACACACACACACACACACTGCCAGACACACACACACACACACTGCCAGACACACACAGAGATACACACTGCCAGACACACACACACACACACACACACTGCCAGACACACACACACACACTGCCAGACACACACACACACACTGCCAGACACACACAGAGATAGACACTGCCAGACACACACACAGATACACACTCCCAGACACACACACTCCCAGACACACACAGAGATACATACTCCCAGACACACACACACTGCCAGGCACACACAGAGATACACACACTGCCAGACACAGTACATATTAGTGAATATCCCTGTCGGTGTATACATTGTTCATGCTATACTATAATCTGTTGTTAATCTAAATGAGTGATTAGTCCAGCAGTATATATGATAAGAGAACCCATGAATCCCAGTGCTGCTCACTCCATATAATTAAACTATAAATATTAACATACCCAGACTGCCCTCCTCTGTGCAGTTACAGTCACTCACTCCCATACACAGGAATCCACAAAGACAAAACCAAGGTCGCAGAGGCTGCCGGGAGATGTAGTTCTATTCCCGGAACATAGTGTAAAACAAACTGGATAAGAGGACTCTTTCTCCCAAGATGCACTGCACAAAGTATAGTCCTGCCTGCTGTATCTCTACAGAGAGGCTGTTGCTTAGAGCAACCCCCAAACATTAGTTTAACCCTTTAGCTACTGGACTGCTACTGATTGCTTATTAGAGCAACCCCCCCAAACATTAGTTTAACCCTTTAGCTGCTGGACTGCTACTGATTGCTTATTAGAGCAACCCCCAAACATTAGTTTAACCCTTTAGCTGCTGGACTGCTACTGACTTCACAGATAGTGTATTATAGGTGGTGATAGTGTATTATATATTTCAAAATATTTAAGACTGCCAAATGTATTTAGTGTAAATTATTTTTATTTTTTGGGGGGGAGTCTAAGTATTAAAAAGTAAATAGCCTTTAAAAGTTAATGGTTTAATATTCCTCTATCATTGCTCTGCTTTACAATGTCCCTGTACTGCGCTCCAGAATATGCTGGAGCTTTATAAATTATTACCTGCCAAACTTGCTTGCGCTCCCCACTCCCGGGAAGGTGGTGGGCAGGCCAGGCAAGAGAGCAGGCAGCCCAGGGCAGAGTGCAAGGGGCATTTGCGCCCGTCAAAGCTGAGGGCCCATCCCTACAGAGGGTATCCAGGCTGGTTGTTAGCATTCCCCCCAAGGCAGACCATAAATAAAGCAATCCATGCCAGGTTCTTGTACCCAATCCTTGGACAGGTCATCATGATGACCCAGTTTTCCAGGGATAGTAACTCGAAAAGCAAGACTGTCCCGGCAAATTCGGGGCTGTTGGCACCTATGAATGAGATACACAATACAGTATAGTTGTGGACTGGTGTCCCTAATGCGTGTTTGTTGTGCAGAAATGTTAAAGGACACTAAAGGCACCCAGACCACTTCATGTCATTGAGTGCAGTGACCCTGTCCTCTTTTTTTGTAGAGAAACTGCAATGTTTACATTGCACGGTTAAGACTGCCTCTTGTCGCTTTCTACCAGACAGTCACTAGAGGCGCTTCCTGCAACGACGCTGGACGTCCAGCGTCTTCAAATCCCCATAGGAAAGCATTGAGTCAATGCTTTCCTATGGGGAAGGAATAATGTGTGCAAATTAGGTTCCCCCTTATTGCTGACGTCGGAGGAGGCAGAGACGGAGCCAGCACCAAATGACCTCAGCGCTGGAAAGAGGTAAATGTTTAATTAGGTTTTTCAACCCTTTAAGTACCGGGGGGGGGGAGAGGGCCAGACAATAGCTTTAGGACAGAGGGACACTATAGCGTTAGGAATACAGATTTTTATCCCTTCCCGTTTGATAAATTCCTTTCTCTGCATTCTCCTTCGACACACTTTTAATCTGTTACATATTAATGTATTTCCTTATAATAATTTCTTCTCAATAAACATTCACAGTAAAAACTATTAATATAAACAGACGTGGGTTATTTACAAAACTGAAGTGTGTTGGGAAATCATAGAATTTCACGTTTTAGGCCAAAATTAATTGATAGCAAAAAATCTCCAACTTGGTTATTGTTGCGACTTTACTTTTTTGGCATCATATTTGAAATTCCTTATTCACTTTATAATAAATGATTGTTCAGTAAATAATAGTGATAAAAATTTAAAAAAAAAAAATACAAACGTATGAGAAATCAAGGCATGAATGACAAAATGCCATCAATAACCCTGCCGACTATGAATCTCACAATCCTTATCCAGCATCTCCCCAAAAGGTGACAAAACATTCCACCAAAATGGCAGCCCTTTTAAAGTAAAAAGAAAAACACACAAAAAAACAAATAATCTTTGACTATTAAACCCCATGCATTCCATTCTATTGTGAACATAGTGGTAGGTGGCTCTATTCTGTATATCCTGAAGTGGAGGTTTAACCCCTTAAGGACTAGACTGTTTTTGCAATGTTGTACATTTGCGACCAGGCATATTTTTACACTTTTGTGGTGTTTGTGTTTGGCTGTAATTTTCCGCTCTCTCATTTACTGTTCCCATACAAATTATATATTGTTTTTTTCAGGACAAAAGGGGCTTTCTTTACATACCATTATTTATATAATCTCATGTATTTTAATTTAAAAAAAATAAAAAAATATGATGAAAAATTGAAAAAATACATGTTTTTTGACTTTTACTTGAAAAATCTTTTACTCATCTACAAAAGCGAATGAAAAAAACTGCTAAATAGATTCAAAATTTTGTCCTGAGTTTAAAAATACCTAGTGTTTACGTGCTTTTTTGCTTTTTTTTGCATGTTATAGGGCTATAGGTACAAGTAGGATATTGCGGTTTCAAAACATACATTTTAAAATTTATCAATAGTGACATTGTAACACTATTATCTGTCATAAATCTCTGAATAACACCCCACATGTACATATTTTTTTTAAAGTAGACAACCCAGGGTATTCAATATGGGGTATGTCCAGTCTTTTTTAGTAGCCACTTAGTCGAAAACACTGGCCAAAGTAAGCATTCATATTTGTTTGTGTGTGAAAAAAGTAAAAACTAAATTGAACGCTAATTTTGGCCAGTGTTTGTGACCAAGTGGTTACTAAAAAAGACTGGACATACCCCATTTGCAATACCTTGGGTTGTCTTCTTTTGCAAATGGTATGCCATCATGGGGGTAATTCTCATTCCTGGGCTACCATACGCTCTCAAAGGCAACGTAACCAACCTGGCCATTTTCAATGTAAAAATATTTGACCCATATATTTGACCCTGTAACTTTCAAAAATGCTATAAAACCTGTACATGGGGGGTACTGTTTTACTCAGGAGACATTGCTGAACACAAATATTAGTGTTTAAAAACTGGAAAACGTATCACAACAATTATATCATCAGTAAAAGTGCTGTTTGTGTGTGAAAAATGCAAAAAAGTAACTTTCACTGACAATATCATCACTGTGATATGTTTTACTGTTTTGAATCACTAATATTTGTGTTCAGCGAAGTCTCCCGAGTAAAACAGTACCCCCCATGTACAGGTTTTAGGGTGTCGTAGAACGTTACAGGGTAAAATACAGTGCTAGCAAATTAAATTCTCTGGAATTTCGGCCTGGGTTGGCAGGCAGGTCCCTCAAATTGCAATCAATAAAATTACTGAATTATGTAAAAATATTACATAAATACGCACGTAGAATTTAAATATATATGCATATTTATATATTTGAAGTCTACGTGTATATTTATATAATTATTTATGTAATTTTGTATATGGACGTATGTATATTTCTTATTATTTTTATTTATTTTTATATACATAGATATATATACAAATTCATTCTAAGTGTATTTTGATATAAATATATATATATTAATTTTAAAATACAGTTAGAATAAAATTTCATATAGATATATAATTTTTTTTTAAATTTTTATTATTTAAAAAAAATTATTTAATTTAAATTACTTATTATTTATATTTTATAATAATATATATATACAATATATATAGTTATTATATATATTATATATATACGTGTGTAATTTAATTATAAGTGTATTTTTATATTAATATAAGTACATATTAATATAAAAATACACTTAGTATGGCATTATATATATGATATATAGACATATATTATATAGATATAATATATGTCTATATATCATATATACACCTATATAATTATTATTATTTTTTTTATTAACATTAACTTTATTTTATTTTTTGATTTTACACTAGCAGGGAGACTGCCTGTCAGCACAGGCAGTCCCCCTGCAGGCAGACACATGGACACCTATTGTGACCATGTGATCGCTGTGTTAAGCGATCACATGGCCACAGGGGGTCCTAATTCAGTGTGGGGAGACTGTCTGGGCTGCAGGCAGTCTCCCCACAACCGGAGCCACGCTGATCGCCGCCGGGGGAACGACGGCGATCAGGTAAGTAACTAAGACCGTTAGGACGGTTCAGGACCGTCATCGGTCCTCAAGGCAAAAATGCCGATGACGGTCCTGAACCGTCCTCGGTCCTTAAGGGGTTAACAAACAAATCCCTTTTGTATGTAATTATTTATTTATCTTTTTATAGAGTGTTATATTTCCTGTACGTAAATACCCGTCTTCAAAACTATTAAAGGGACACTGTAGGCACTATTACAATTTCATCTTAATAAAGTAGTTATTCACGGCCGTCTTTAAAGCGGGGCAAACGGGGCAGCTGCCCCAAGCCCACTCACTCCTGGGGGGCCCAATGCAGCTACCCCGTGGGCCCCGCTGTCCGTAAAAAAAATTTTTTTTCCCCATGGGCCCGCCGGTGCAGACGCTGCACCGGGAGCCCACACACTAATAGGGGCCCCCTTATTTTACTGCAGCAGGCTGGGAGGAAGTGACTGCCGTGAGTCACTTCCTCCAAGATAGACTGAAACCGCGCGGGATGGAGGAGGAGGAGGCCGTCAGGAAGGAGCTGGAGTGCAGGAGCCTCACACTCCCAACGACCTCAGCCTGCCACTGGACCCCAGGGAACCCATAAGGTAAGCTGGAGGGTTAGAGCACAGATTTTTACCCATCCTGGTTGTATATCTGAAAGTTATAAAGTGTACATGCTAAGTAGTTTGTAGGGTGTTTTTTTTATACAGTGATCTGCTTTTCTGTGTGTTTGTTATATACAGTGCATTGCATATGCATGTGATGATGGCTTTACATATGGCTTTAATGACCAATTGTTATACATATTTATAGATTGTTTACAAATGCCTGCAATATCAGGTTAATTCTTGTGCCTGAATCCATTTTAAATCCAGAGGGGAATTGCTTTCATGCATGCCAATGTCCATTTTAGGTTTGCATAAGGTTTTATAGATGCTCCAATAGCTTCATGTTGTAATTATTTTGTCTTCCAATGACATTATGTCCTTTTATGTTATGGGTGAAATTACTGTCATTAAAACCTCCAGCTACATTTCAGCACTGCCCTGTGCCCCATTATATCTATTCCTCATTTTACACAGCTGGACTGTCTGTGTCTGTCAGGGTTTCTGTGTGTGTATGTCAGTCTGTCAGTGTGTCTTAGTATGTGTGTGAGTATGTCTGTCAAGGTGTCTGTGTGTGTGTAGTATGTCTGTCTGTGTCAGTATATCTGTGTGTGTCTTAGTATGTGTGTGAGTATGTCTGTCAGGGTGTCTGTGTGTGTGTGTGTCTTAGTATGTCTGCGTATGTGTGTGAGTATGTCTGTCAGGGTGTGTGTGTGTGTGTGTGTGTCACTATTTCTGTGTGTGTATCAGTATGTCTGTCAGGGTGTGTCACTATGTCAGTGTGTCAGTATGTCTGCCAGTGTGTATCTCTGTTGTCAGTATGTATATCTATGTGTGTATATCTCTGTATCTGTATTTAGTATATCTATGTTTCTCTATGTGGTATGTGTGTATCTGCATATGTGTCAGATTGTGTATCTGCGTATCTGTATGTGTGTCAGTTTGTATATCTGTATGTTATCATTGTATGTATTTGTGTATCTGTATGTTGTCAGTGTGTGTACCTGCATGTATATCTGTGTGCATCTGTATATAGTCAGTGTTTTTATCTGTGTACCTGCGTGTGTGTCAGTATATGCATCAGTGTGTCTGAGTATCCATATGTGTCAGTGTTTGTATATATGTCTCTGTATGTGTGTCAGGTTGTGTATCTGTGTGTCTGTATGTGTTAGTGTGTGTATCTGTGTCAGTCTGTATCTGCATGTGTGTTAGTGTTAGTGTGAGTGTCAGTGTTTATATCTGTGTGTCTGCATGTGTTTCAGTGTGTGTGTGTGTATGAGTATCACAGTGTGTGTGTGTGTGGCAGTGTATGTGTACATGTGCATACATATCATCATTCAAATCACCAACACTACACTCAAGTACACCCCTGCATTCAACCTTCAACACTACATACAAACACAGTCCTGCATTGAAACGTCAACAATACATATAAACACATCTTTGTGTTAAACACCAAAAATATATATAAACACACCCCAGCATTAAAAAGCAAAAACAACTACACATAGATGCATGCTTGCATTCAAACACCAACAACACCTACAAACACACCCCTACATTTACACAAACATACTCCATACAAAAACATGCTTCCATTCAAACACATAAATACAACTCTGCAAGCATGGGAAAATGGTTCCGCTACTGCGTTGGGAAGTGGAGAGCGTGATTGCATGTCAGGGAGTGGGGGTTAGGGGGCCCCATCAAATGCTTGCCCAGGGCCCAATCAATATTAAAGACGGCCCTGTAGTTATTGTGCCTGGAGTCCTCTGGCACTGTGCCTCGATTCAGTGTTAAAACATTTTTCAAGCAGTTTAAAACTGTACGATGGTCCCTGGCCGCCCACCGCCCAGCCCGCACTAGAGGTGTGGCTAAGGCAGAGATTACACACTTCCTTATTCATACCAGCAATGGGTGCTGTGATAGGCTCTCAGCCAATCACATTACCTCATCGCTTGATCCGGCTAACGCTTCCCCATAAGCCCAAACAGTACGGAGTGGTTGGGCTGCTGGGAACTCTTGTTTAGCATTACAAGATTAAAAACGTTTTAATTCTGGAGGAAGAACGGCACCAGGGGTTTTCAGACATTATAACAACTTTAATGAGATGAAGCATACGATGTCCCTTTAAATAATTTGAAAGAACCAAAATATGGGCAGTTTCACAATTAAGACTACAATTCAAGAGATGCGCTCCATTTTACTAAGATATTGCATTAAAGTGACAAGATTTTTTTAATTAAGGGAAGAATTAGAACTAAAATGCACGCTATGGGGTGGCTTTCTGTAAATGCATATCTCCCACTTAAAAAATAACTTTTTTGTCCACTAGTTTACAAGAACAATAAATATAAAAGGGCCTGATGATTTATTTTTTATTTATTTTTTTTTAGCTATTGACGTCTGCATTCGTTATGACCCTACAGATAGTGACAGCTGTCAATAATACCACACTGATCCAACCTGGGTTTTCACTGCTGCGTTTTGGGAGCCATTTATTTTTCTTTGGACAGAAAGGCTGGCCAAAGCGTTCATGCCCCACAGGGGTCTTCTTGGTGGATTTAAAAAACAATGAACTTAAACTACGCCCCACCATGTTTAACAATGACTCTTGCTACTTACCTCCTCTGAGGAACCCAGCTGTCTGCAGTCTTCCTACAAACTCTGGCAATGAAGACACACAGTATCTAATACATGGAGGGAAGACACCGAACAATGAGTTATCTTCCAAGCTATACATGATGTCTGTGGCACCACTGATCAACAAGAAAATTATTCTTTGCTGTTCTGAGAAAGAGATAGAAGGAGACATCCCAGAAGCAAGATATGGCCATTCCATGAATGTAGTACATAGCCGAGACAAATCAGCAGTGGTAATCTTTGGTGGAAGGTCTTACTTGCCATTGAATCAACGAACAACAGAAAACTGGAACTGTGTGGTTGATTGCCAGCCATTGCTTTATCTTATTGATCTTCAGTTTGGATGTTCAAGTTCTTACTTGATTCCTGAACTTCAGGATGGAATTTCCTTCCATTCTTCATTAGCCAAGAATGACATTATCTATATTTTAGGAGGACATTCATATGAAAATAATCTCAGGGCCCGAAACATCTATAAGATTAAGGTTGACCTACCACTTGGGAGTCCAAAGGTAACTTGTGAAGTCCTACAAGGCAGCATTTCTTTCTCCAGTGCGATTGTAACCAAAACCAGCCCTGATGAGTTCTTGATTGTTGGTGGATATGAGTCTGACAGTAATAAAAGGCTTACTTGTAACAGAGTTTGCCTAAGTGATGACTCTATTGATATCCAAGAATTTGAATCTCCAGATTGGACAGCGGAGATTAAACATAGCAAAACTTGGTTTGGTGGTGATATGGGCCATGGAATGGTTTTAATAGGTGTCCCAGGTGATAATAAGCACCAACCTTCAGAAAGCAACTTCTACTTTTATGTATTAAACCTTGGGCAAAATGGGGACTTGATGTTGCAGTCATGTAGCCAAGAATCTCTAGAAGAACAAGAAGACTCCATGCCTCTTGAAGACTCTGAAGAGTTTACATTCAACATTTTTGATGAAGATGTGTATAACGAAGATGATGAAGAAGATGAGTCAGTGACTGGATACTGGATTACATGCTGTGCAGACTGTATTGTGGATATAAATACTTGGGTACCATTCTACTCCACCGAGCTCAACAAACCAGCCATGATCTACTGCTCTAGTGAAGGTGGGCATTGGGTGCATTCCCAGTGTATGGACCTATCAGAGAGTATGCTTGTCCATCTGTCTGAAAACAATATCAAGTATTTCTGCAAGGAACATGTTAACTTGGCAAGAGGCCTTCAAACACCGAAGAAGGACAACCCTGTCATGAAGCCATCAATGAAAAAGGTTGGGAAGAAGCCATTGGTCAGGAGATTGTCAGAAGTAAAGAAATCTTTTCTCAGACGTTTGTTTGATTGATTACTTTGATTTCTGTGAGATTCAGTAGTTTGATAACCCTAAAGATTTATCTCAGTAACCAGAATTTGTTATGCTAATTGTTACTGAAAATGAATGCAGGTATACAGTAATATGATTAAAGCCTTTGCAAAATGTATAAAAAATATTTCTTTTAGGATGTAATTTAAAACAGTTCTGGGAGTACAACTTGATTTTTAATGGGACATGGTACAGCCAAGTTATACACAGACCCCCAGCAAGGGGTCTCCGTACAATTACGCACAAACTCCACCCCTGTGCCTGGGAGATAATTGAGTCAAGAACTGTACCAACTCAATTATCTCCCAGGTGCAAAACAACACACAAGTTTAAAACACCCCACAAACACATTTTAATATTTAAGAGCCCCATGAAAGTTACATCACCGAATAGAATGAATTTGGGGGAGGTGTCACAACAAGGGTACATAATTCATTGTTGCACTATAGAATATTGCCATTTAATGTAATCTGTGTAGTGCATATATGAACTGGCTGCCTGGTAGAGATGATATTGTCAATTTCAAAAGGGGTTAGTTTGATTGTATAGGAGGCCAGAGCTTACAACCTAAGTTCATCTTTGAAGCTGGGATCCCAACAGAGCTATTCTGTAAGGTGTGAGAAGTCACACATAAGTGGCCTGAAAGTCTGGCTTCAGGATAAACTAACAATCTCATTTGCCATATTTCTTGACTGCCTTTTAGATAAGGATTCCTCTGATATGAACAAGTCTTGTGTATCTATATCATATCCAAAAGAGACATTAATACCTACCCACGGATTAATACTCAAGCCTAATTTATATCATATTTAGAATGGGACAAGCACAACCTTCTAATCAAGCCTAAACATGATGTGTGGAACAAGGGGACCACACAGATAGGGAGATCCCCTCCCCAGCATGATGACCTGAAAAAAATAAGCAGACAAGCGAGTAGGCACATGTGGGCATGGTACTCAGTGACGGCGTTCCGTCACAACATCATACTATTCTGTTCTAAGAAAACCAGTGTACCACAGTTTATGGCTTTCTGGAACCACATGCAATCCTTGTTTATATCACAAAATTCCGCATTTGTTAGATATAGTTTTTTAAGCCACTGCTAAAAAAAAAAAGAAAAAAAAACACATATTTTCCAGCTTTCTTTTTCCCGATCTCTCCGAAGATAATCTGTGAGTAAAATGGATATATCTTTAAAGGGACACTCCACTGCTAAAATATAAAACCATCATTTAGTAGATATACCTCCAATGAAAACGTGCATTTATTTAATTATTCAGTTTTTCTTTGGGGCATATCTAATAACAGTTTGCAAAAGATGCAGATCTCTCGTCTGCAGCCTTTACAGTCCCTCCCCTTCTAGCCCTGCCCAGACTTTCTGTGGCTGTTTAATCACATACTTCCCACTGCAGCTTGAGGAGAAGTTATTGCGAGGCAAGTGCTCTGAGCAGAGGCATAACTTGAAACCACAGGGCTCCGGTGCAAAATTTGCCCTTGGGCCCCCGCCATACGTCTCCTCCCCCACACATCCCCGCCCCACACATGTCCCCGCACCCACACACATGCAGACAAACAGATACATATGCAGACATAGACACACACACACAGATACACACACATGACACACACATACAGGCACACATACATGTAGACACACACATACATACACACATACAAACAAACACATGCACACAAACCTATACATACAAACACACATACACACAGACCCAGGGCCGGACTGGGGATACAAAGCAGCCCTGGAAAAAAAAATCTATGCCAGCCCCATAAGTCATTGCGCCATATATTGCCGTATGTAATATGTAAGGCAATGTCTTGCCACCCCAGATGGTTGAGTAATATATATATATATATATATATATATATATATATCGAATATATATTGCTTTCTCTGATATATATTATTGGTCCCTTCAGAGTAAAACGTTTAATTATACAGTAAGCATACTCACATGCAGACACAGACAATCTCATTGACACACACAAGCTCATTGATACACAGCCTCATGGACAAACAATGTCACTGATATTCATAAGCTCATTGGCATAAAAACACAAGCTCACTCACTCACTAGCAGGCACACACACACGCAAGCAAGCTCACTCACTAGCAGGCGCATACACACACAGCTTAATGTAGTGGTTCTGGTGTCTATAGCCTGCAGGCTTTTCAATGTAAACACTGACTTTTCTGAGAAATGGCAGTGTTTACATTGCTTCCTAGTGACACCTCTAGTGACAGTCACTCAGACAGTCACTAGAGGTGCTTCCTGTGTCAGTGCTGCACAGTGTGATTGAACAGTGTGCAGCACCTACATTCAGGGCCTTTGCAGCCAATTCTATGGCAGAGCCTCTGTGTCTCTGTGTGTGTGTGTCTCTGTATGTGTGTGTGTCTGTGTGTGTGAGTGTCTGTGTCTCTGTATGTGTGTGTGTCTGTGTCTCTCTGTATGTGTGTGTGTCACTGCATGTACGTGTGTGTCTCTGTATGTGTGTGTGTCTATGTATGCAGTAGCGTACACACAATCCAGGGGGCCCCGTATGTATGGGTCTGTGTCTATGTATGTGTGTGTGTCTATGTATGCAGTGGCGTACACACAATCCATGGGGCCTGTATGTGTCTGTGCCTATGTATGTGTGTGTGTCTCTGTGTGTGTGTGTGTCTCTGTATGTGTGTGTCTCTGTATGTGTGTGCCTGTGTCTCTGTGTGTGTGTGTCTGTCTCTGTTTGTATGTGTGTCTCTGTATGTGTGTTAGTCTGTCTCTGTATGTGTGTCTGTCTGTGTCTGTATGTGTGTCTGTCTGTATGTGTGTCTGTGTCTCTCTGTATGTGTGTCTGTGTCTCTCTGTATGTGTGTGTATGTCTCTGTATGTGTGTGTGTCTATGTATGCAGTGGCATAAACACAATCCATGGGGCCCTGTATGTGTGTGTCTATGTATGTGTGTGTGTCTATGTGTGTGTGTGCCTGTGTCTCTGTATGTATGTGTCTGTGTGTATATATGTGTGTGTGTCTGTATGTATGTGTCTGTCGAGGGATGTGTGTGTCTGTCTGTGTGTATGTTTGTGTGTCTGTATATATGTATGTATGTGTCAGGGTGGTGGGGAGCATGGATAGGGGGAGAGAGGGGAGCACGGATCGGGGGGGAGGGCCCACAGATAAGTTTCGCATCGGGGCCCCATGGATTGTGTGTACGCCACTGACTTCCTTCCTATGCTCTGACCTGGCCCACTGAAAATGAATTTCCATCAGGTGGCCCTAACAGCATGGGCCACCCGATAGGGACCCGTAACATGTGGCCCCAGTGGTTATTAAGCGCAGGCCGGGGCCGCAACACATGGAGTGATTGGCCCATTCATAGCTGCGACCCCTGCCACCGCAGTAGTTCTGCCACTGGCTCTGAGCAATTACTGCCTCTTGAGTTTAGCTCCACTGATGTAAACACCCAGGAAGTAACTGGACTGGTTGTCTGATTGACAGTCAGGGGGGGTGCAACAAGGTTAAATCATAAATGTTTATAAATGTGCCAATTTCTATTGAAATCTGCAGTTTTTATAAAATGAAAAATGAGGACACACTCTTCACATGTAAAGCACTTCTTCAAGCTAAGGGTTAAGGGAAGTTAGAGATAATTAAACAATTTCTGAGCATGAAAAGTTATCTAAAGAATCAGAAGAATATTAATGCATCTTAGTTCCATGGCTGCTAGATTGTAATCTGTACCTGAAAATGTCTTAAAACATCTAAATAATTTTAATTAAAAATACAAAAACAAACATAGAGACAGTCTTTGATCTTCTTTTGGATAAAACAGGTTCACTTCAATTGCATGTTGAATTTATAATCTCTATTCATTGAATTTTCAATATTTAAAAGTGCATTTTTTTTCAAAATATTTATCTTTTCTAATTCTGTCTGTATACTGTGTTAGTTGTGTCTTTTTGTTAAAGATGTTGTATACATGGATGAATTATTTTACCTTATATCCTGGAGATAATCTAATTTAATACCATAAGGTTAATTAGCTCCTATGAGCGCAATCTCAGAATGCTAATTAGCTTCCAGGGCTGAAATGGGATGTTATTAAAAAAAAATCCATATGTTTTACATAAGTAAGATATAATTAATGGTCCAAATTTAAATGAACAAATCACAATATAATATGCTGAAGATAGCAAATCACTCTAGATTTATTACATTATTCAATAATAATAGTAATAATTAGAACAAACTTGTATTGATATTTAGAATGTTACATTAAGCCACACTCAAGCCAAGAAAGCTGGTTGTTTCTGCTTATCTGCAATGAGTACTGCGTTATCTGTTTTTTTACAGCCCAACCCTAACATAACGTCACAGTCTGGACTAACCACATTTAAATCTTGCTCCGCAGTGGTAATATTTTTAACTTAAAACCTTTTCCTATTTGTCAGACCTCGTTATATGTAAGTCGAGTGCTGGAAACCTTTAGCCATCAATCAAGTTACACAGCACTAGCAGTCCCCTCTAGTGATGTCCCGAACGGTTCGCCACGGACGGCGAACATATGCGCTGTTCGGTCCGCCCCCATTCGTCATCATTGAGTAAACTTTGACCCTGTACCTCACAGTCAGCAGACACATTCCAGCCAATCAGCAGCAGACCCTCCCTCCCAGACCCTCCCACCTCCTGGACAGCTCACTAAGAATGCAGCTTCACAATGAATGTAAAATGGATGCTGTCCAGGAGGTGGGAGGGTCTGGGAGGGATGGTCTGCTGCTGATTGGCTGGAATGTGTCTGCTGACTGTGACGTACAGGGTCAAAGTTTACTCAATGATGACATAGGGGGCGGACCGAACAGCGCATATGTTCGCCGTCTGTGGCGAACCGTTCGGCGAACCGTTCGGGACATCACTAGTCCCCTCACATTCTGATATTGTGACCAGAAAGAACATAACATAACATTAATGGCTTACATGTTCACAATAAAGATGCTAAATAAAAAAATATAAAAAAAAAAATCAAAATATGTTAATAGAAGAGTGTTATAGAAGGGCATAATCGAGAAAATGAATGTGAAAAAACAAACTTTCTTTGATATTTTCTCTCTATCCCATAAGAATGGTGTATTTTCATTGTTAAAGAAACATTCCAGTCTTCATAATAACTTCATCTAATTGCATGAAGTTGTTATGGTGCCAGGAGACCCCCAGGCACTCTTTTACCTTAAGACAGGGGTTCTCAACCCAGTCCTCAGGACCCCCTACCAGTCCAGGATTTGGGGATTACCTGGGTGTGTCTCAGGTGTTTAGAAAATGGGAAAAAAACACCTTAGACTCTAAGGTGTTTTTTTTTTTCTTTTTCTAAACACCTTAGACACACCCAGGTAATCCCTAAACCCTGGACTGGTAGGGGGTCCTGAGGACTAACGTTGAGAACCCCTGCCTTAAGAGGTTAAACTGCTTTTGAATGGCTTAACCCCAAAGTTTGCCTCCAGCACTGATCTCCAGGTCCCTCATTCAGAGCGGGGAAGAGCAGAGTGCCGCCATTGATTGGCTAGAGCGGTTAGCTGACGCTCTAAGCCATTCAGCTCCCTATTCATAAAGAAAAGTGAGATATTTTTCTGGTTATTATTTTTTTATATATAACATATTGTAACTTGATTTCATTTATGTAATATGTAAAAGTCTAAAAATTCAATAAAGTATAAATAAGTTAACATACATTCATCAAATTAAACATTTTCTATCTCTTCATTTTGTTACATTCATAGTAGAACCTCATAATAGACAGAATAAATATGATAGACTACAGACAATATTAGTACACCACACATATTATTATTATTATTAATTATTATCATCACTAGCATTTATATAGTGCCAATGTATTCTGTAGCACTTTACAATCACACAGTGCGATTATCCAACAGCATGTTACTGACAGACAAAGTAAAAGTGGACAGATACAGGAGGTGAAGAAGGCTCTGTTCAAAAGAGCTGGCAATCTAGGAGGACGTAGGTAAAGGTATACAAAGGCAACATATCAGAGGGAGTTTGATAGACATGATTCCTGTAACTAATTACACGTAAAAGTGACTGCAGAGTTGAAGCTGTGAGTAAAGTGAACTGTCAAAGCACAGGTAAAACAAAATGTGTATTACGGAACTTCTTAAAGGACAGGGGGATAGAGGAAAGTATAATAAAATCAGGGAGAGTAATCAATAGGAGTGGTGTGACTCTTGAGGAATCCTGTGATGATGTGAGAACAAGCAGACAATGATCACAAGCACAAAAAATAAAACATGTTATGGAACGGGATTCCGAAAGGTATAGGAAGCCAATATGGTGACTTGCAGAGGGGTTAGGTAGGAGAGGAACAGTTGCTGAGGGACATAAGCCCATGACAGTTTGTAATGGGGCAATGAAGGTATTGGAGAGGCCAATGGTGAGTGACTTGCAATAGTCAAAGTAGGATGAACAAGTGCCTTGGTTGCATCCTGTTTTCAATGGCGGGGATTATGAGATATATTTCTAACGTTGATGTTAAGAAAAAGTAAGGTCAGAATCAAACATAACTACGAGTCAGCGAACTTGGGGTCTTGGGGTAACGGGGGTTCCACTGACGTACAGGTAGTGAGACAAAGGAGACACAGTAGTCAAAAGATGAAATATCTATTACATTTCTTCTATTTAAAAATCAGGCTTCGGAAATTAGGAAATCATCCAGTTTGAGACAGAGATTGGCAATGAGTAACAAAACGGCAGGATTGAGACAAGCGGCATTATTCACTAAACTACACATTGTGGCAAAGCCGAGTGTCAAAAATTAGGCAGAACAGCCGATTTGGAAACATTTTCAAACTCTAGAGTAGCCACAGCCGGGTTACATTTTATTGAATAACCTTTTCTGTAAGAAATAGCTCTACCCATGCATGTCTGTCATGTATCTCACAACTTCATTAACGCCAGGTCACAAAGTAAATATTTCAGCTAAACAGTTTAGCTCCAAACTTGTACAGTTTTGTAAAACACAATTTGTATTGCAATCTGCCTATCTGTTTTAGTTGTAATAAAGATGAAGTTACTGTTACCGAAGATCAAACAACACATGCATACATATTTTTTTTATCACAAAATGCAATTTTAGGTTTAGACGACTAATCAGTGCAATATCCATAAAAAATGTAAACACAATTTCTTCTGCTTTTTTTTATCTATGTCTTTTGCAGAGACAGATTATTAAAGGAACACTATAGTCACTTAAATTACATTAGCTAAATAAAGCAGTTTTAGTGTATAGATCATTCCCCTGCAATTTCACTGCTCAATTCACTGTCATTTAGGAGTTAAATCACTTTGTTTCTGTTTATGCAGCCCTAGCCACACCTACCCTGGCTATGACTGACACAGCCTGCATGAAAAAAAACTGGTTTCACTTTCAAACAGATGTAATTTACCTTAAATAATTGTATCTCAATCTCTAAATTGAACTTTAATCACATACAGGAGGTTCTTGCAGGCTATGAACATAGCAGGGGATAAGAAAATCTTAATTAAACAGAACTCGCAATAAAGAAAGCCTAAATAGGACTCTCTTTACAGGAAGTGTTTATGGAAGGCTGTGCAAGTCACATGCAGGGAGGTGTGACTAGGGTTCATAAACAAAGGGATTTAACTCCTAAATGGCAGAGGATTGAGCAGTGAGGCTGCAGGGGCATGTTCTATACACCAAAACTGCTTCATTAAGCTAAAGTTGTTCAGGTGACTATAGTGTCCCTTTAACAGAAACCACAGAAACCCTCCTATACTTTTCACAGTAGTAAGAAGCTTGCAAAAGTACTGTACATTCCTTGTATTCTTCTACCCTGAGCTGCTGTAAAATATGAGGACTATGTATTTTTATGATATTTACCAATCAAAGCACAACTACCAGGTATCAGGTATCATGGAAGATATTTAAGGAAAACTAAAGGATAAATTCTATATATTAAAAAAATAAATTAATGGTCTGTGTAGGGAGACTACAGTGTTTAACACTGCCTCCCCACATACTGTCACTCTGCCCATTGTCACATTCACCACCCTGCCAATGCATTCACTCATCCCTCTTGTGCCCCTAATCCTGTCATACTCACACCCCTAACCTTGTCACACTTACCACACTAATTCTGTCACATTCACCATCCTGCCACAATCCCTAACTACCCTTTACCCTGCTACACACTCTGTTACACTCAACCAATAACTCTGTCACGCTCACCCACCATTCGTTACCCTGTCACACCTAGCCCCCAAACCCTGCACACTCACCCCTAAACCCTGTCATACACACGCCTCTCACATTGTCACGCTTACCCCCCTCACTGTGCCACCGGCACAGTTAACTCCCACATGTGAAATACAACCTCACCATAAACACAACACAAAAAAATAACATTCAAGCACTCTCACAATCACTTTAGAAGCCGCGGTGGGTGCCGGGAAAGTCAGCGGATGGGTGCATGCTGGGATCTCACTGATCCCAACGTGCACCAGCTGCCTGCACTTGAAAGGAAAAATAAGGTGTGCTCAACTGAATTTCTACCTTCACCACAGCATGATGACGGGGAGTGCTCCTGGAAAGCTTGTGCATGGAACGATAGGTCTTGAAAGGACCTTGCACCAGTTCCACTGACATCGCGCGACAGTGCCGCACACACAATAAAACACGATATGGCAAACATGTTAGTACATATTCACCATCACCATCTGTGATTCCCTCTCTAGCTCAAAGCAAGAAATAAAACAAACTGTAAATTATATACACTTTTTATAAACTTGTTCGGTATAAATGTACCAATGTCTTTTTGCCTTTTAATATGATGGCGTCTAGCCCAGAGCTGCGCTGCTCTGAACTCACACAGCTAGTTTTCGATAACCCCACTGTGTTAGAAGTCCTGTAATTAATCTGTTCCTGATTACAATAAAAGAATCGCAGATATATGAGACGAGAAATGTGCTAAAATTGATTTAAGGGGAGAGTTTCCTGCAGACAAATGTGATTTGTTAATGGAATATATTCTGGGCATTGTTGTTTTGCTCAAACCTTAGCAGTTGTTTCAAATCTCTAAAGCAATTACTTAATTCTCTAAGTGAGGACGCGGGGAGGGTTGGGGAGCTTTGTGAGAACATCAGCTGTTCAATGCGAGACCAAAAGGCTATTAATTAAGCAGATCGTTTGCAGACTGCATTGCTTTCCCTTTCACTATAGACAAAGCTTTTGATTTCGCTATTGATGAGATAAAAAGTAAAGTGGGTATTTGGAGAGTTTTCTTTAGTGCACTTGTTACTCTCGTTGCCACCTCCCGCACCTTTTCCTTGACACATAATTTCTGCGAGCTAACTGGCATTACATGAAAAGTGTTGGCCTCAGTTCTGTAGAATCCGTATTCTCCTGGAATTAGGGACATTCCAAGCACCAATACAACTTTAATGCATTTTACAGGTTTTGCCCTGATTAATATGCTATATTTTTTGTATGCTTAAACCTTTAAAGTTTTTTTGCACACAAAAAAAATGTTTTAAGGAATGCTGCAGCTGCATCATTAGCCTGCATTCTTAGCTGGACCCTGTTGACCAGTTGATTGATTTATATGATGGATCTCCAAAAGAGGGTGCCCCTGGCTCTTGTTTACATTAAGAGGATGGGAAGACATAGAACTTTCAGGGACTTTTAAAAATGTATACATGCATATTTTTTTTTTTTTGCTAATTAGTTCAAATGTATTACAAAAATATGCATTTGTTAACCTACCAGGCAAGCTTTGGCACTCCAGATATTGAGGACTACATCTCCCATCATGCTCCTGCAGCCATAATGCTGAGAAAGCATCAGAGGAGATTAGTCCATAACATCTGGAGTACGGTTGCTACTTCTGATTATTCCTAGATATTCCCTTCAAGGAAGACACTGGGAGGTCCAAGCTGGTCCCACTGGCTCTTCACGTTTTAGCTAAGAACATACCACAGTAAAATTAGCATTTAATGCAAATAATGTGTTGCTAATTTTTTTTATGGAAATAAGAAAATAACCAATTGACATTTATTTTTTAAAATTGTTCCTTTGCAGTTAACAAATGGGAGCTGAAGGAAACCACTAGAGATCCGCTGCCTGGCCTGCTTTACAGAATTCTGCACGGCGTGCACTCCAGTTCCCTGGGATTACAACTCCTATAATGCCAAGCCACCCATCATCTAATTGTCTCACCTTCATTTTCATCCAAATTAGTGTCTGTCTTCCTTCCTCTCACCCGGTGACTCTCCAGAACTAGTTCTTCCATAAGTGGATGACCAACCTTCAGGATATGGGTTGCCTGATTTTTTTTTTCTGGACACTTATAACAAACTCATGAAGTACATGAAGAGTTCTGCCTGTAGTAGGCGGCATTCACACACTGCAGAACTCCTTGTACATTAATGACCTGATTTCCTACCTGCAGAATTTGAATGCTACACAATACTTGAAGCAATGGGGTCTCGGTGGGAGCCACACCTCCTTGTGGTCTTAAGCATGTAGTTAGGGCCTCAGTTCGCCACCTTATTTAACAGTTATTTAATGATTATTTATGATTATCGCTATGGATTTTTTTTGTTTTAAACATTAAATACCTTTAATTAATTATTATTAAAGTAATCAGTGACCTTTTTCTTTCATTTCCAATCTGTTATCTGTGTCTCATTAATATATCAGTGGAGGTTTGTGAAATTGTAGGGGGGAAGGTTGGGATGTTTTACTTATTAATATGCACGTAGGGACAATAGGAGACTTACCCTCTCCGTATTTGTACCTACCTTTACAAAATATACCTCCCTCTTTCCCCGAGTTTAGCTGTGATTGGTTATTGAATATGCCCTCTTGAACTGATGTTGAATCTATAGTTCAGTAACACTTTCGACCATGTGACTGTATTGTATAAATAAACTCAGTGAATACTTATTTAATGTTGGTGTCTGCTCACTAAACAGCACATTGTGGTAAGTTGCAAACAGACTTTCAGCAGCAGCTATTTAGTAAATACTCCCCACTGCCTTTAAGTTCCCATATTTAGCTCAGTGTTTTGTACATGCGCGCAAAAAAATGCAGAAAACAAAAATCTTGATTCTCAAATCTTTATTGGACATCTGCGAATTACAATATATCAAATCTTAACAACATGATTGAGTAAGTTAAGTATAAATTTTAGAAGTCATTAAAGGTAAAAAAAAAAATAAAAAAAATACTTAAATCATTATAATTAACAATTTTTAAAAATTTGTTTAAAAATTTAAAAATCAGTTTAAAAAAAAACAGATTTAGATTTCAAACCAAAATACAAGGAGATAGACACAATCACGAATTCACATCACAGTATGTGTGTCTCCTTACCCAAAAATCATCAACTATTGTTTGTATTAAGGATAATATAATCAAGGAAATGATAAAAAAAAAAAACAAGATCTGATTTGAGGTACTTGGAATTTAGATAACTATTAAATGCAAATAAATTAGCCCCTTGTCGCAAATGAATACAGTAAAATATGGCACTTTATAATTGAGAGCTGTACCATGATTAGATATGAATGTACTCAATTCCTCTGAGGTTCAAGTCATTTTAGTTCATCAATAAATAAACTGAATGTTTTAAAAACAAAGAATGTATAGATGAAGTCACACTGAATGAAAAACGCAAGAATGTCTGTACTATATCTTTTACTGTAACTATTCCGTTCCTCCAATGCACTTTTTATTTGTATAGAATAAGAAATGTAACCAGTCACTAGTTTAACTACCAGACACTACTTCCAAGTACATCAATGCACACCTACACACCATAAAGTTGGTTACCACACCAGTCCCCATTACTACTCTTTAATTGACAACTGCACTGTAACCCTTTGGTTTTGGACTACGGATAGAGGTCTACGCGGCTTAGATGCAAATTAAAACAGGTGCCATGCATGAAAACATACAAAGTGGGTGCATTTCACAAAATGGCCTCGGGCAAATTGAAGTTGGATTTGCCAAGGAACCATGTGCTTACACCTGCTACCGTGCCACTAAAACCTTAATACGCTTGACAAGTGCTTTGTGGGAAATCTGGTATTGTGGGTTAGACAACCAACGGTCCATAAAACATTCCTAAAATGTATTAAATGTACAAACAGTAACAATGAGGTATTCTCACAACTCCATAAGGTTTGAGGTAAATAAAATGCAGTAATGTATTACCTAAAATATAAACACAGTCAGCTAGATACAACTGAGCAATGAAAGTAGAACCACTGCGTATAAATTATGCAGGTAGAACAGTAGCTATACCCGCTCATTCAACACATGTTTAAGTACATACAGAGTTATTTACTAAAGTGGGAATTGTTGGGAAGTTAAAGTATTTTAAAATACCTGAATTCGATATATTCTCCAACTCAGTTCTTTTTATAGACATGAAGCTACTTCTACAGTTAAAAGGATAAGGGTTGCACATTTTCACGTAAATGGGCTAGAGTGCCCTTTTTAATCAATTATATCATTAGATTTTATTTTCTAAAACTTTTTTCATATTTTCTGTAGCTACAGCTGGCGAATACATGACGCAGATGCATTGTTCCTCATTTTGCACATGCATTATAATTCTATAACATAAAAAAAATATTTAGTAAAATGTTATGAGTTACTATGAACTTCTGTAAAAAAACAAACGTATTAATACTTCACTTAAAAAAATAAAAATGCCCCCAGTGAATTCAGAAACCCTTTTTTTTCTAAAGTCAAATGCTGCAAATATTACAAATAAAAGAGGCTTAGCTAATCTTAGAATATTTCAAAATATCAATTTATGAAGGATTCTCCCACCTAAGCAAATTTAATTAATAATTACTCGGTGCATTTTGCATTTTCTGAAAAAGCTCAAACTGTTTATAAAGTCTCTCATGTTTGCTATCTAAGCTGGTGCAGAGTTTGCCATTTTGAAAACTCTTCCTGAAAATTATTTTTTAATAAGCAGAATTCAATGAGAAAGGCAGGAATGCTTTTTCAGACAACTAAAAGTTTGCTGTTCCAACAATTTAAGATAGAGCAATGTCTACATGTTCAAACTCAGGCTATGTTTTACGTGGATTTGAGGCTAATGTGTAGGCACCAACAAGACTCTCTTTTCAGCCAGATTATGGACTAGTTGAAGCTAACTTGGTCTGGGCCCTGCAGCTGATGTCAAGTAGAACTTGCCAAATTCAAATTCCAAATTAGCCCCACATGGATTCTTTCATAATTTTGACTCCTACAGACTTAAAGGACCACTCTAGGCACCCAGACCACTTCAGCTTAATGAAGTGGTCTGGGTGCCAGGCAGGGACGTATTAGCCGCGAGGCAAACAAGGCATTTGCCTTGGGCGGCATTTTTCAGGGGGCGGCAAAAAACGCCGCCCCCCAAATGCCCAGGGCAGATGCCTTGTTAGCCTTGCGGCTAACTGACATCCCGGGCGGCCGGCGAGGGAGCACTTCCCATGAGCTGACTGCTCAGCTCCCTCGCGCACCGCAAAGTGAGGCTGGGAGCCGGAAGATGACGTCATCTTCCGGTTCCCAGCCTCACTCTGCAGCCGACGCGCGAGGGAGCTGAGCAGTCAGCTCATGGGAAGTGCTCCCTCGCCGGCCGCCCGCCCGCCTGCCAGCGCCGCCCGCCCTGCAGCCACTGGACCACCAGGGAGAGAGATCCCCCCCCCCCAGCACTCCCAAAGGTAAGGAGGTTGGGGGGGGATTTAAATTAAAAAAAAAAGTTAATGTGTGTGTGTTTGTGTGTGTGTGTGTCTGACTGTGTGTGTATGTGACTGTGTGTATGTGTCTGACTGTGTGTGTGTGTATGTGACTGTGTGTGTCTGTGTGTGTTTGTGTCTGACTGTGTGTGTATGTGTGTGTGTGTGTCTGTATATGTGTCTGACTGTGTGTGTGTGTGTGTGTATGTGACTGTGTGTGTCTGTGTCTGACTGTGTGTATGTGTGTGTGTGTCTGACTGTTTGTGTCTGTGTATGTGTCTGACTGTGTGTGTGTATGTGTCTGACTGTGTGTGTGTGTATGTGTCTGACTGTGTGTGTGTGTATGTGTCTGACTGTGTGTGTTTGTGTCTGACTGTGTGTGTGTGTGTTTTTGTGTCTGACTGTGTGTGTGTGTGTATTTAGAAGGTGGGGCGGGGGGAAGGGTTGGGTGGGGGTGGCGCGGGGGGAAGGGGAGGCGCCTGAGTTTTGTCCTGCCTAGGGCAGCACAAAACCAGGATACACCACTGGTGCCAGGTCCAGCTAGGGTTGACCCATTTTTTTTATAAACATAGCAGTTTCAGAGAAACTGCTATGTTTATAAATAGGTTAATCCAGCCTCCAAGGCTTTAGTGGCTGTCTCACTGACAGCCGCTAGAGGCGCTTGCGTGCTTCTCACTGTGAAAATCACAGTGAGAACACGCAAGCGTCCATAGGAAAGCATTGTAAATGCTTTCCTATGAGACCGCTGAATGCGCGCGCAGCTCCTGACGCGCATGCGCATTCAGCCCAGGAGGAGGATTGGAGGAGGAGAGGAGGAGGAGAGCTCCCCGCCCGGCGCTGGAGAAAGAGGTAATATTTAACCCCTTTCCTCTTCCCAGAGCCCGGCGGGAGGGGGACCCTGAGGGTGGGGGCACCCTCAGGGCACTATAGTGCCAGGAAAACGAGTATGTTTTCCTGGCACTATAGTGGTCCTTTAAGTTAGTGAGACCTGCTGAATCAGACCTGGCTTCAATTCACTCGTACAAAAGTGATCATTCGTGAATTTAGCAAAACGTGGTGAAATCACTCATTTAGAAATATAATTTCAATGGGGTAAGTTTTTGGTTATTTTATGGATATAAAACATAGAGGAGTGATTTGCATGATTTATTTTCATCTAAAATATACTGGGTCTAAAAAGCACACATACACAAAAGATATATATAAAGAAATACTATAAATTATAGCAAACTTAAAAAAAAAAAAAAAAAGGATGGCAGGGGGTTATAACACACTTCTAAGGAAACAGAATGCTAACTCAAAAACAACTTGTGGTTATTCATTCTGTTAGTAAAGATTTACTACATTATTTCTTAATGCAGACAGAAAATGTTATCAGTCAGACTTAACATAATCAACTCACACTTTAATCTATCATTATTTGTTAAAGATAAAAATTTAGTTTAATCAAAATCTCAATAAAAAATAAAACAAAGCTGTTATACACTGTTCTTTAAATGTAAGTCTCCTTATTGTAAACCTTTCCATTCTAAAGTAGATTGAATAAAATACTCAGTTAAATTATTTAAAAAGTAAAAGTTCTCATTGCCAAAATTACAGCATTTGTCATTTTTGTCAAACCATAAACCACCTTAATTATTTTTTTTAGACGCTCAACTATTACACCTCAATTCTCTCAACCACTGTAAATTCTATAATACTATATCTCTATTAAACTCTTCTCATGTACGGTAAGATTTAAACATACCAGCATGGTACCCAGAACTCTTCTGACTTAAGATAAGTGGAATTCACACTGCTATCTCTTTGAATTGTGCCTTTGATTTAACACTGGCCATCTCTGAGTAACTGGACTCACATTGAGAGAGCAAACCCAAAACAGGAATGATAAAGAAACCAGATAAACATTTTCTACCAGTTTAGCTCATAGCTCCATTGATTCTAAAGATTCTATAGAACATTCTATGTTCTTTTCTACCTCTGTAGTTTGTTCTAGATCTAAAGTAAAACCTTGGTGTTTCAGTGCTTGATGAGCATTCATAAATTTTTGAAGGTATTTAGATGTATATAGCCAATGGTGTTTCAATACATCTTCCATCTCATAAAACTTGGACTGCCTAGCATTCATCTTCCGGAAACGTCTAAACAGTTTGTTCCCAGATTCATTGCCTTCACTGGCCCAAGCACCAATGGAGCCATCTCGTTCAATGATCTCTGGAACATGGGCTAGAGTTTTGTGAAAGTAATTTGTAATCTTGCCCTCATATCTGTATTTAAACTTGGTGGATAGAAGTTCTGCAAAGCACTGTGAGTGGAAGCTGTATTGACAAAGAAGTTCTGGGCATTCTTTGGCTGGACATGAAGATCGCCACACTGGTTTCATTTTAAGATATAGGTCCATGAGCTCTCTGAGCGCATCTTTTCTCTCCTCGTCACAGACTAACTCACAAACAGCATCTACAGTCTCTTTGCTCATAAGTTTTCTAGCAAAGTTCCCATTCATTCTCATTATGGGCTTAAGATTCATTTTCTTTCTAAGATGTTTGTCCAGAGTTGTTTGCCATCTCTTTTTTTCTTCTTTGGTGGCATTGGGGTTTTTGTAGACTTCTCCAATTTCCAGCTGAAATATTCTATAAAACTCAGCTGCATTTCCAATGTCGCAGTGCAATGCATCTATGGATGGCAGGGTTTCAATAAAGGGTTTTGCAGAGACACCTTTCACCCTGTCTCTCAATTCATCAACTGATTCATGGTACGGGTTGGCTCTCCATGTCTCATAACGCTGTAGGTTCTCAGTATGGCTTCTTGTTATGGAATGGAAGACAATATTCTGGGATGCTTCTAAGCGAGTAGAATCACATAATGTACAGATATAATGTGAGCCTGAAGCCTCCAATCCTTCCACTTCTCTCACCAACTTTTCATCATAGCCAGTACCACGGAATACAAATTTAAAATTTCGTAGGATTCCTCCTATCTCTAACAGTAGATCACTGGTTTTCATGGCTTCCCTTTCTGCTACAATTGGACTCAAGATGGCGGTCAGAGTCTCGTGGTCTGATTCATCAGCGAGCATTAAGCAAAGTGGTTTGCAGCAAAGTTCAGAGTTTGGTTTAGCTTCCTCAAAAATTCGAATAGGGCCATTGTCACTGGTAACGCTGATTGTCATGATTGTGAATGAGAATCGAACTGCCTTTTCAGGTACTGCTGGTCCACACCCATGTTTCTCACTAACATCACCCATGCCATCACAGGACTCTTTAATCACCACTGTGAAAGGACCTGACAGATAGTCATCCAGATCTTCAGATTTTAAACCTTCCAAAATATCCTCCTCCATGTCTTTTAAAGTGGACACCAGAGCTGCATCATATCTAAACCTTTTAGAAATTGCTTCCACTGGGTATTCATCCACCGATCTATTAAGCCCAGAAAGTCCATCGATTATCCCAATATCTGTACTGGTGGACACATTTTTAAGTGGTGGCTTCCATTCAAAAGGATGATAGCCTGGGAGTAAGGCCTTCTCCGCAGTCCTCAGTGAATGCAGCGGTTGAAAGATCTGCCGACCAGTTGTGGCTTTGACAGTCCTGTACATTTTGTGGTACTGACTGCAGCTGAGGAAGGTATTAACTCTGATCGCAAGACAAACAGCTGGGTGGAGACCTACCCCTCTTCCTTCCATGATTGCTTCCAGCTCATCTGCTTGCCTGTGCTCATTCTTGGCCCTCAAGGCCAAGAGAAAAAGTGTTAGACACACAGATTTAACATCACCTCCTTCTTCTTTGTCAGAGAAAGCTTTTACTTGCATCTTCAGCTCCCGTAGACGATGTTTCTGAGCTCTCCTTGTCAGCGAGAGCAAGTGCTGTCTGGGTCGACCACCCTTGTTAACATGAGCATAGGCCTCTTTTCCTTTGATATCTTTGTGTTTGGAGATGTGATGAGTATATTTTCCTAAGAGGATTTCTTCTTCACACCCGGCAACTGTGCATTTTATTACTAAGGAATTTAGAATGTTGAGATATGATTTCACAGGGGTTGTAAGGTCAGTAGGGAAGCATGTGTATTTGCAAGAAGGACAGTAGCATCCCATTATCTTTATGTATTTGAGAATACAAATTCTACAGAACAAGTGTTTGCATGAAGTTTGCACAGGATCAGAGAGAATATGTTCACACAGTTGACATGAAATTGACTTAATGAAGTCAGAAGGATAGTCCACCACCAAAATGTTGGTGTCAAGGTGTATTTTCTTGCAATTAGCTCTTATCTGAATGAGAGCTTTGTTGTTCTTCCAGTGAGAAGATCCATTTGGGTTTTTGTTCTTTTTCACAAACTCCGTTCCCTTCCTAATTTTTTTGACATGCTGGTGATTTGTAAGAGGTCCTCCTTTCCTTTTTCCCCATGTCTTGGCAGACTTGCAGACGTTGCATGTCTCAGAGTGAGGCACCCATTCAACGACTTTGTTGCGAGGAAAATAAACTTCACTAGAATTATGACTGAATTTCTGGTTCATAATAATCCAGCAGTTATGACAAAAATTAGTTGGATGAATTGTGTCTAGATCAGCTCGTACTTCTATTTTGAACACTTTGCAGATGAGATCTGGCCAGGAGGTGGCTTTCTTTTCTCTTCGTTTGAGAACTTCCTGGGTTTCACTGTCCACTGGACCGTGGACAGGATAACTTCTATTCTGTTGATCCATTTTAAAGGAAACTCCACAGATGCGGCAGAGTTGTTGCAAAAAAGTTGTGTGGGCTTCTTCTTCCAATCTTTTCAATTCTGCCTCTTTCTCATTCACACTTTCCTCTTTCCATTTGTAATCAACAATTGACAGTGGTTCAGCCTCCACATTCAGGTCCTCTGAGTTAATTTGGGTATCAGGATACATTTCCTGAGAGCTGGTAAATGATGCTTGACTTGAATCTTCTTCTGATGAACTTCTCTCTAAGGATTTCACCCGAAACAACTTAAATTTCCAGTCTGAAAACTTTGCGTATGGACGGTCCATCGGGAATGGTATTGCATGCTGCAGGGGCAAACTGAGCAAAGGGCCCTCCATGTCCCCACACACTACAAAAAAGAAGAAAAGAAATCAAAGGAAATTAAAAAATAATATTTTCACAAATATAACACATGAAATTAAAATACAAAAAAAAAGGCTAAAATGGTTACTTACTAACGTAAGATTTGTCAGTAATTCAAAGTGAATTCAAATGAATTTCAAATTCAAGACCAAAGTAGTCACATTAGAAACATTCCCTTTGAATTTACTCTGTATTTCTAACAGTTCTCACTTTAGTAAATAACTCTGATAGGTATGGATACAAATAATACACCACAATTTTTAGTTTACGTTTATATTATAAAGTTTACCACTAAAATTAGAGATCAATTTAGGCTTTAGCTCATACGTCACCCTCCCCATAGGTTTAACATCAATCTATTCAGGGATCCCTGTCTAGTCAACCTGCGGAGATTCCAGGAGAGCTTTGGTATAGTTTATCCAACAATAATCATCTTATCTTTCATTGCAAAGACCCCCTAGAAGACTTTTCCTACTGCCTTATATTTCTTAGAAATTATAACTTTGCTTTCCTTTGCTTTCCTTGAGATGATTTATGATCTGTCTTATATCTGACTATGAATTTATACATTGGAAATAAAAAATTATATTGATGGCCGGCTTCATATATGGAACTAGCATCTAACTTCAAAATACAAATTGCAATGCACGTCAATCATACTAGAACAAGCAGTTGTTTAACATACACTGGTTAATTCACTATACATTAAATTGCAACATTTACTCTAAAATAGCCTCGCTGTGACTATACAGCCGAGTTTGAGATTTTTTTAATTTATTTTTTTAAATTAGCACTTTTTACCTAAATTTTGCAATTCAGTTTTCAACTCAAACACCACGATTCAATATTTTGTAAATAAACCCTTTCCCCAAGTCTAACGCATTAGGCAGGATTCAGAAACTGGCAATTTCTAAATACTGATTGGATTTTTTTTTTTGCGTGTTTGTTTTTTGTAAATGTGAAATATAACTGTGATAGGGTTAAATCTTGGTATAATAATGGACAGTTTTACAGTTCACAGTGTCAGATAAATAGAGTATTTCCTGTGCCCTCAGCATCCAGATAAAAACATCTTAGTGGGTGATTGATTCTGGGATGGGGAAGATGTACCGTTAGTGTACATTCCCACAGGCATGATTGATCTGCCTTAGAGGACGCTACCTGTCTGATAAGAGCTAATGATGGGAAGACCCTGTGGATATTGAAGGATCTGCAAACTGGCATATATAACAATACAGGAGAGTGTGGATGCAGGTGATAAGATATGAGAAGCAGTGAGATAGGCGACAGCAACGGTGCTGTGAAAGATACATTATACAGAGATACAATGGCAATCACTGATACACAGAGCAGGTATAGGGACACGAGCAGAGATAGTGTGCGTGCAGAGATTCCTATTCAGATAAACAGGGATATAAAACATGCAGCATTGCAGGAAGACAAATACACAGAGAGAACGAGAGAGAGAGGACGTATGGGGTTCGTTCGACAAACAAGGAACTGGAGAGCATTGACAAAGGAATTTTCGATTTTTCAGACACATTCGGCAAACTGAAAACTTTATTTCCCAGGAATTTTTCCAGTTTGGTTATATTGGCTAAAATTTGAAATTCACTTTGATTTTCATAGCAATTAAAAATGTAGTAAAGGACCCTGGCAATGTATTTCAGGGTATTTACCCTAAGGAGGAATTGTCAGGAATTCAAATTCTCTTTGAATTCACTTTCCATTATCAAAAGCGCTCACTTTAGTGAAACACCCTGATTGATATGTACATACACTTCCCGTCTCATCTCAGTAGTTTGGCAATGCAGCATCTCAAATGCATTGTAACCGCATTAGTCTCTAAAAGAGGGATTTCAGGACAGGAAGGGTGATCTGGAAAAATCAAGAGATTTAAAGAATTTTTCCAATTTGTCTATTTTGGTCTAAAATGTTAAATTGCCTTGCCAATTCTCCCCAGTTATAGTACTACTGTTATAGTATGTCTTCACTTATATCAAAGCATTAGTGGAATTTAAATTGTAAGCTTTTGGGCAGAGCTCTCAAAACCTTCAGCACAACTCTGTTTCATTTATTAAGTGTATGTAGTTCTTCAGAATTTTATGTGACTACGGGAATAAAATATAATTAAATTATTTTTACAATACTGCGGCATGACCTAAATAAGTCTGCTTCTGGCCCTTTAAATGGCGCAATCAATCCCATAATTAATCATTGATGATTAGTGAGCAGTATTAATCCAGAAGCTCACTATCTGTGATTGTATTTGGATATAAACCTTTAAAAATGTAAACATTTAATCCAAACTGTAAATACAAAACTTTGGGAGAGATTTATAAAGCGTTCCGTTCTAAAAAGTGGTGTAAAGTTCTAAAAGTGGGGCAATCACTATGGAAACCAGAAAAAACAACAGGTACATTTCATTGGAGACTCCTTCCCTTTTACATTTTTCCATCACTTTGTAGAAAAGAACACTTTGATAAATCTCCATAATAGAGCATTGATGGATAATATTGGCTCAATAGAACTTTGTGAACTATCTTCTCTATAATCTTTTTAAGGTAATAATGGTAAATGCCCCAAATATATGTCTCTGTTAATTCTATTGTACAGATTAATCATTATATTTGTGAAGCGATAAATCAATAGGCTATCAATCCCAATTATCGCAATATTCTAAAGAAACAATACTTACAATGATTACAACAAATGCAATGACCGTGCATCATGCACAAATAGATTAAAGCATTTTTTTTGCTATTACAGAACTATGTATTTCTGGTATAGAGGAGGTTAATTATAACAGCAACCGTTACATAATAAACACAAAGCAATACAATAAAATTATTTTGCATATTACACAATTATTGTATTTAGTAATTGTAACTAAAGCATTACAGTAAAAATCATCATAATATTTAATAATTTTGTGTAAAGCTATTATTTATCACCAACGATTATAGTCCTTAATTGCAGGGCAGAGAGAGTGATAAAGGGGAAACAAGAATGTATTTTCTGATCACGCCACAAAATGCAGGCATGCTAAGGTTCTCAATAAATGACCACACATATAACTTTTATTCTTTGTTACAACTCTGTTATTTTCTAATTAATAATACCTAATACGTATCAGAATAAACAAAAAGAAGATGGGAGGAGGTATTTTCCCAATATTATACAGGTTGTTATTCACTAAACACAGAATTGAAATGTATTATAAACTGAAATGCAAAATGTAGGCTAATATAGCCGAGCTGTGACTACAGCTAAATTGGAGAATTAGAGTTTTCAGTTCTCTGTAATTCGGCGATAAATAAAACAATGGTGATCAGGGGTGATTAATAATTAGTATATATTACCTGCTGCAGTCTCGCAGTGCTCACACACGTTTTATGTTAATTTTCAGCCTTGGTTTATCAGCAATAGCTTTCTCTATCTAGGAAGGGAAGCTATGCTCCTATTTATAATGCCAAAGCTGGGAAGCACTGCTCAGATTCAAAATTTGCAGCAGCCAATGGGAGAGAGAATATAGGATGACCCCCTTAGCAATGAAATGAACCCAGCCCACCTCAGCCACTGTGGGTGCACCTGGGGTGCTTTGTTTTGGTGCCTGGGTAGTTTACCCACAAGAGTTTATGTCAGCGGCTGACAAGAGACAGTGCATAACATTCACAGCTGTGTTATTCTTCAAAACACGCAACGATTTCTGTTTTTGTGGGTCGACCGTGCAATCAACAAGCACCCATGTGTCAGGACAAACAAGCTTAACCCTTTTAGTGCCAGTGCAGAGCAAAAACAACATGTTTGAATAGTTTTGTTCTGCCAGGAGGGATGGGCAGCCTATGGCATATCAGGTGCTGAGGATTACTACTATTGCACTCAGCCAGCCTGGCTGAATATGATGAGAATGGAAGGCAGAAACTGGCAAGCATCTGCACACTGCTTTCAAGTACAACTCCCATCATTCTCAGCCATTGGGAGTTGAACAGAATTGTCAGTGTAAACTGGGGCCTTGGTCATGCTAGTGCTTGTGGATTACAACCTCCATCATGCTCAGGCAACCAGCTCTGCTTAAAGCAGTGGTTCTTAAAGGGCCACTAAAGACATCCAGACCACTTCATCTCAATGTAGTTTTAACCTTGCAATGTAAAACAGTGATTTTTAGGAGATATGACAATATTCTTATTGCAAGGTTAAGAGAGCTCTTGTGATTGTCTTCCTAGCAGCCAATAGAGATGATTCGACTGTGAAAATCAAGCCAGACCTAGAGAGCATTTGATTGGTGCAGTCATAGCCGATTCTGGGCGGGTGCACCAGGTGCACAGCGCCCAGGCACTCTGTGAGTAGAGGCGCATCGCGGCGTTAGGCTCTGACCCTCTCACTAAGCCCCATCCTTCATTTTAAGCTCCACCTCCTGTCTGAAGGCCCTCAGAGCTCCTGGAAGGCTGGTTGGGCTTGAAGGTGAGCACACACAGGGGAGGGGGGCACTACATAAAGGCGCAGGAGGGGAGGGGGCTAACACAGGAGGGGAGGGGGCTAAAGAGGGCACAGTATGGGAGGGGGCTAAATAGGGCACAGGAGGGAAGGGGGCTACATAAGGGCACAGGAGGGGAGGGGCCTAAGAGGGCACAGGAAGGGGAGGGGCCAAAAAAAGAGCACAGGAGGGGAGGGGCTAAAGAGGGTACAGGAGGGAAGGGGGCTACATAAGGGCAGGGGTAAAAGAGGACACAGGTGAGGGGGAAGATAAAGAGGGCACAGAAGGGGAGGGGGCTAAAGATGCACAAATTGGCTGGGGGAGACAAAGGGGCACACAGAAGGGCTGGGGGAGAGACACAAAAGGGAAGGGGAAAAAAGAGACACATAAAGGGGTTAGAAATAGAGGCCAGCCACAGTTGCCAGCACCAGCCAGCCACAGCAGCCAGCCTGCCTGCCAACCAGGCACAGCAGCATACAAGTTGGCCACAGCAGCCAGCCAGTGACAGCAGCCAGCAACAGTAATTAAGTTAGAGAAGACAGCTTGAGCTGTGTATCACAGAGCTTTGTGATATCACTATATTGTGAATGGGGGCCAGCATTTTAGGGAAAACAATCTCCAGGGCCCTTTAGACTCCATTGTAGTCTCTAATGGGGCCTTGAGGGGACTCTTATTAACATACAGTTTACATACAGTAACAAACATACAGTCTTACAGACACACTCTTACATGCAGATAGTCACACACGCACACACGCACACAGGCAGACAGCCACACACACAGACAGCCACACACGTACATACAGGCAGCCACACACACAGGCAGACAGCCATACACACACAGGAAGACATCCACACACACAGAGGCAGGCAGTCACACACACACACACATGGGCAGGCAGACATACACACACAGGCAGATAGTCACACACACAGGCAGACAGTCAAACACACAGACAGACAGCCACACACACACAGGCAGGCAATCACACATAGTTACCTCTGTTCATTATGGAGGAGTGGAGGCAGTGCAGCTCCTGGAGACTGGTTGTTGGGAAAGCAGGGACTCCTTGCTTCCCCTGCAGCAGTTACCCGTCACTTTTAGCTATGCCCCTGCTGTCAGTTTAGCTCCGCATCAGCCGCACAGTAAGCTCCACCCCCGTCGCAATATAATTCCAGCCGGTCATGTGTGAGCTGTGTCGGCCGAATGGTGCCCCCTGCTCCCATGGCGCCCCGTGTGGCCTCACAGCTCGCACACCCCTAAGGCTGGCCCTGACTACATCCCGTGCACACAGGCACACCCTGCATTCTCTGCACACACACAGAGACACACTGCATTCTCTACATACACACAGAGACACACTGCATTCCCTGCACACACACAGAGACACAGTGCATTCCCTGCACAAACACTGAGACACACTGCATTCCCTGCACACACACAGAGACACACTGCATTCCTTGCCCACAGACACACCCTGCATTCCCTGCACACACACTGACACACTGCATTCCCTGCACACACACTGAGACACACTGCATTCCCTGCACACTGTCAGACACTATTCACTATGCACACTGCATAGCATAATGGATGTAATTGTGTTTTGATGTGCATGCTGGTGGTTAGGAGGGGGCAGCATTCCCTCAATTTATTTATTATATTTGACGGTACAGCTGAGGTGGATTACTGGGCAAGCTTAATGTTAACTACAGGAGGAGTTATCAAATGTGTTTTTGGGTGGAAGTCCCTGTCCATATACATGGGCGTCCGCAGGAATTTTTCCAGGGGGGGGGCATAATTGTAATGACATCCATGCTTGGCCCCTTTTTGACAGTGTCATGAAAGGGAGGAGCATTATCACATAAAGCCAGGGTGAAGAGCGTTTTCACAACTATGGTGTCAGGAATACATGTTTGTATTCCTGAAACTATAGTGTTGCTTTAAGCAAATTAAAGAAACATTCTGGTCACCATAACAACTTAATCTAAATGAAAATGCTATGATGCCAGGAGGCCCCTGGGCGCTTTCTTTCCTTTAAGGGGTTAAACCGCTCTCAAATGGTTTAACCCCAAAGGCTTCCTCCAGCTCCAGGTAGCTCAGTGGTTTTCGGCTTCTGAAACGGAGTGTCAGGAAGTGCAGATTGACGTCAGGCATGGGTGCCGCCGATTGGCTAGAGTTGCCGATTCATACATTTTTTACGTTTTTATGAATGGGGAGCTACTGATTGGTTTAGAGTGCCAGCTGCCCATTGTAGCCAATCAGCGGCACCCCTAGCTAGCTGCCCTCTGTGTTTCCTGACACTCAGTAAATAAAAGTGAACACATTAACACTATGTTTTTTACCTGGGAAGATGAGAAGGTCCAAAGTTTCTTGCCAGGCCCAGGTACCAAAGCCTTATCATGTGGTGTCCAGACCGAAGTGGAGGGATCACTTCACTTGTTCTTCCTGCTCCAATCTCATTTTCTTCTCCATTTGACACAGTCTTCTTTTTCTTCTGACACTGTCTTCTCTCCTCCTTGGCTCCTTTACCTTTCCACTACTTTCTGCTTATTTTGCACCCTTCTGCTCTTTCTCTTTCTGACCCCTCCTGCCCCTTGCAGACCCTTCCTACTCCTTGCTGACCCCTCCTGCTCCTTGCTGCCCCTTCCTGCTCCTTACAGACCTTTTCTACTCCTTGCTGCCTCTTCCTACTCCTTGCTGACCCCACCTGCAGACCCTTTCTACTCCTTGTCGACCCTTGCTGACCCTTCCTGCTCATTTCAGCATACATCTATTTCACCCTCCTGCTCCTTGCAAACCTTTCCTATCCTTTCTTGCTTCTTGCTGCCCCTTCCGCTCTTCCAATTTCTTGCTGATCCCCCCTGCCCCTTGCAGAACCTTTCTGCTCATTTCTGTTCCTTCTATTTTACCTTCCTGTAGGCTGTCTCCCCCCCAACCCTCACTTACCTGATCTGTAGGTTCCCCCCCAATGCTTGCTGGCTGCACTCTGTGCTGCTCCCCTGCGGATGCAGTCAGGAGAGAGAAGCAGGGATAAGCTGTAACTTCCTATCCCTGCCTTTCTCCATTCACAGCGCCAACTACTGGCCGCTGCCGCTATTGCAGTTTATTATCACACCAACGAAAAATAGCAGTACAAGCTGAAAAATCCAGGGGTGGGAGGGAGGGGCAGGTGCCCCCGCTTGCGGACGCCCATGTCCATATAATAACGCCCCTGGTGATGGGATAGAGCCAAAAGGGGAAGAGAATGGTGAGATAAGTCACACAGGGACATTTACAAAAATAAACAAACATTCTGCTGAAAACAAAAATGCATGCACACACAGTAACGTCCAGTGAAGGACACTCATACATACAAACATAAACAAACACACACACACACGTCTTATAATTAAATTCTTGCTCTTACTAACACATTTCATACAAATATTCAATAACTGCATCTGTACATATTAATATTATACACAAATATTCATTAGAATTCACACAAATCTGTTAATACATTTCTGCGTTCCGAATACATTGACTCTCTGCAAAATAAATCCAGGTTACACACAGTTCATACAAAAACACTACCAGCTGACAAGCTTCCTGAGGACAAGATGGGACTGGCAGGGACGTATTACCCGCGAGGCAAACAAGCCATTTGCATTGGGCGGCAAAAACCGCCGCCCCCAAATGCCTGGGCAAATGCCTTGTTAGCCTGGCGGCTAACTAACAGTTCAGGCAGGCGGGCGACTAAGTAAGAATCCATGCAGGCGGCAGAGTGATTTCGGGAGCCGGAATATGACGTCATGGACCAAGATGCTCACTGTCAGGGACTGGATACTGGATACAATATTCCGGATCAATGTTATTGAGCTCAACACGTTTCGTCTCTTGACTTTTTCAGGAGATTTTATTATTATTATTATGATATTTATAGAGCGCCGTCAAATTCCGCAGCGCTTTACAATGGGTGGACGAACAGACATGTAGTTGTAACCAGACAAGT